GGAGAGTAAAAGAGAAGTTTACCTTATAGGTAAAAGACGCCCTGGTTGGAACAGAACGAGGTAGAGGAGATTAGGAGTGTCAAAATGTTCAAAAGAATCGAACCGATCCATAACCAAACTGTTTCACATTTTAAAAATCGGTTTCATATGAAACTACATATTATTTTATAAACTGGTTATTTACCAAACCATAAAAATAATTGGTTATTCATGGTTATCCATAACCAAACTATTTTACAATTAAAGAACAAATAAGTATTATCTTTTATCCTTAACATTAAAATGTAAAAATTACATAAATATGAATCATTTTTAAATGTGACATTATTAGAAAAGTCTCAAATACTAACAAAATTTATCGAAGAAAAAAATTTCGTCGAAAATTTTGAAAAAAATCATATTACGTAGAAAATAGAGGCGAAAATAATTTCGTCGAAACTAGAGACGGAACAAGATTTTGTCATAATCACTGACAAATTTTTGAGGGACAATATTTCAGTCAAAATTCTTGATAAAATCTAAATTTCGTCGAAACTTTCGACAGAAACAATTATGTCAAACTTTTCAAGGAAAAATAATTCTGTAAATTTTTTTGACGAAACGCATTTTCATAAAACAAATTGACGGAAAATAATTTCGTCAAATTTTTTTATGGAAAATATTTCCGTCCAAATTTTTGACAAAAAATATTTGCAACAAAATCTTCAACAAAACACATTTACAACGAAAATTTTGACCAAAAATATTTACGTAAAAAATTTTGACGAAAAATATTTCATAATTTTTTTTTGATGTAATATATTTCTATAAAAAATTCTGACGGAATTTTTTTTGTCAAAGTTCTTTACGGAATTTAAATTCCCTCAAATCATTTCCCTCAAATTGTTTGTCATAAAAATTTTACGAAAATTTTTCATAGAAATGTGTTCCATTGAAAATTTTGATGGAAATGATTTTTATCAAAAAATTTGACGGAAATATTTTTCGTCGAAAATTTTCGAAGAAAATGTGTTTCGTTAAAAATTTTGACGAAATTTTTTTTGTCAAAATGTTTAACGAAAATATTTCTGTCGAAAACTTTCGACGGAATTTGAATTCTGTAAAGAATTTTGATGAAATTTTTTTCCGTCAAAAGTTTTCGAAGGAAATGTGTTTCGTGGAAAATTTTGATAGAAATATTTTTTCGTCAAAAATTTCGATGAATATGTTTTTTTGTAAAATATTTTGAGGAAAATATTTTGACGAAATTTATATTCCGTAAAAAATTTCGACAAAAACAATTTTTCGTCAAATTTTTTTATAGATATGTTTTTAGTCACAAAATTTGATGAAAATATTTTTCGTCAAAATTTTTTGCGGAAAATTTTGATGGAAATGTTTTCCGTAAAAAGAACGTGAACAATTTTTATAACAATCATTTCGTCGTGAGAGTTCCAAAACAATGAAGATTCTTGCGAGAAATAGTTGGTCAACTACCTATAACTGCGAGAAACAAATGACTACTTATAAAATAGCACAATCCATCAAAAATCGATATTGAATTTGTTAAAAAATCGGCTTTGAACTTGATAACCAGTTTATGGTTCATAAGCGGTTTTGATTTAAAATCGGTTTTGAATTAAAACCGGTTATAAACCACAAACCGGTTTGGACAAATTAAAAACCGTTTTTTTTTTTTAAAAAAAAAGTGGTTCAGTTTAAAATCCAAACCGTTTAAAACTGGTTTGGTTTGATTTTTGACAATAACCGAACCGAACCGCTCCATGCACACCCCTAGAGGAGATGTGTATCAGAGAGTGAGAGAAAAGTGTTTTTATTTTTTGTGTCCTGAAATAAAAAACAAAAAAATTACTTCTTTTTTATTCCCTAATAAAAAATTAAACCGGTTCATTCCCAGTAGGGGTGATAAATGAACCAGGGGCTTTTCAGCGACCTTTGGCTCGGCTCGTGAAAGCCTGAGCTTACATGTCTAAAATTAGTTGTTGGAATCAGGCTTGAACTTGTATAAAAGCTCGTTTAATAAAAAGTCTTCAGGTTCCAATTCAAAATCTCGGTCTTAGAGCCTCTTAGGCTGGCCAATGTAATAATTTTTATTTTTATTTTATATTTTTTATAATATTTGTAATAGCTCTTTCTCTTTCCTTAATCCATTTCATCCCATTTTATTGGTTAAATAGACTTTTTGAATGATTTTGTACTATATTATGATGTTTGAATATACATTGAATTTTTAAATATTTATGGAATTAATAGTGCTGTTGATTGTATATTCTATTTGGATAAATTTTTGTTGTCTTATTTTTTTAAAACAGGCTAAATCAGGCTTTTATTTTTTTTAAATAAGTCAGGCCACATGCCGATAATTATATTCGTAACAGGTAATAGGCTTGTTCAGACTGACACATTTAAATACAAAGCTTAGCCTTTTAAGACAAAAGCTCGGCTCGGCCCGTTAACACCACTAATTCCCAGGAATAAAAAAGTAAATCGATTTTATCAAACACTGTTTCAGTGTTTCTAATTATTTCTGTTTTCCAGAACAAAAATTAAAAAAAAAAATTTGAGAAGACTCTCATACACATTCTTAATGGATAATATATTTTTAGTTGTTAATATTTTATCATAAAATTGATTTGAAGAAAGAAGGAGGAAACATAGAATTAAAGTTGGAATCTTCCTTTCTTTTAATTTTTATAAATTGTATTTTATATTGATTTAAACAAAACATAATGGATTAATGTATTGGGATGCATTAAATAATAGGGATATATTATTCTATCTTGAGGTGGCAATATGGGTTGAGCCCGACGAGTCAACCCGCTAAAACGGGACGGGTTGGGTTGAGATTTTCAACTCACCAACCCACCTCAACCCGACCCGCCTAGAAGTGGGTCAAAACGGGTTCAACCCGTCGGGTTATAATTTTTTTTTTTCACAATTAGGTAGTATTTCATTAGTCCTTAAATTTTTGTGATATCCAATTTATTTTTATCTTAGTACTTCCTAGAAAAAATAAAGAATAACAATTTTATTTATGACAAATGTTATCTATATATAAATTCCTAAAGAATGTTTGACAAATATTAGTATACATTTAAGATTGAGACTAAAAAAATATAGAGAAGTATGAAATAAAATAAAATAATATTAGAAAAATTCATAAAATATAATTTTTTTTGAATTTTAATTAATTTTTTATAATTGGTGGGTTGACCCGCCAACCTGCTAACCCACCATAAAACAGGATGGGTTCATTTTTCCAACCCATATTTTTTGGCGGGTCAACCCGCTCCGCCCCGTTTTTGGCGGGTTGGTGGCGGGGCGGGGCTGGTCAACCCAAATTGCCACCCCTACCTACTTTTTTTTCTACCTATCTTTGCTTACCATTTTCAAACACCATTTGATCAGAATCTCAATTACGTTTATTGGGGATATTCGCGATCTGGATCGGATCAATTTTGAAGCAAAAATCATCTCATCCAATTCATTCGGTTAGGATTTTTTTTTTAAAATCCGATCCAATCAATTCAATTTTATTCGGTGTGGATTGGATCGATTTTCAATTTTTTGAAAAAGGCTAAAATTTTGGCTATTTGACCATTTTGCCCCTCATTAATTAATTAATAATCATTTTGCCCCTGATTCGAAACTATCTATCAATCTGCCCCTCTTTAATCGACTACTGTGCATGTTTAATCGACTAAATTGTTGTTGGGAGATTTAATCGACTAAATCTCCCTACTTAATCGATTAAAATCATACTGACTTATTTTTTGTGTGTGTCAAATATGGAGATTTAGTCGACTAAATAGGGAGATTTAGTCGACTAAATCTCCCAACAACCATTTTTTGTCTGTTTTGGCCATTTAATTGATTAAAAATGCAAGGTAGTCGATTAAAAAGGGGCAGATTGATAGATAGTTTCAAATCAGGGGCAAAATGGTGATTAATTAATTAATAAGGGGCAAAAGGGTGAAAAAACCCTAAAATTTCAGTCAAATAAATCACTAGCTATATCAAAATAAAGTCATTCAAAGTTAAAAACCACTGTAAGATTTAAGTCTTCAAACTAAAAGTCTTAAAATTCATGAGGAGTTAAAATAGATTAATAGATAATAAAAACTAAAACAAGATAGTTTACTATCAATAATATCCAAGATTCCAAGTCACCATCTTTCAAAATAAGAAATACATAGTACGTTGGATCGGTTTTCACCAATCAAACCGAAAATCAAACCAATCCAATTAAAATATGCGATAATTTTTGGTTTTTCAGTTTTCGATTAACTCAGTTATTGATTTTTTGGTTCAATCACCGCGATTTAAATCGATTTGGATCAGTTGATAAACAATTCTAACCTTTATCACTTCTCTCTCTTATTGAGATTTTGATCTAATAGTGTTTTAGAGTAATAAACAAAGATAGATATAAAAAGATAGGTAGAATAATCTATCCCGAGATAATAATAATAATAATAATAATAATAATAATAATAATAAAATCCATTATGTACATCACGTAATAATATCCATAGGGTTTTAAGCCTTAGTTCCAGGCTATTTGACCATTTTGCCCCTTATTAATTAATTAATAACTATTTTGCCCCTGATTCGAAACTATCTATCAATCTGCCCCTTTTTAATCGACTACTTTGCATGTTTAATCGACTAAATGGTTGTTGGAAGATTTAATCGACTAAATCTCCCTACTTAATCGATTAAAATCATACTGGCTACTCTTTTTTTTTTTTTTGTCAAATTTGGAGATTTAGTCGACTAAATCTCCCAACAGCCATTTTTTGTCTGTTTTGGCCATTTAGTCGATTAAAAATGCAAGGTAGTCGATTAAAGAGGGGCAGATTGATAAATAATTTCGAATCAAGGGCAAAATGGTTATTAATTAATTAATAAGGGGCAAAAGGGTGAAAAAAGCTTAGTTCAATGTGCAAACACTCAAAATTATCTTTATTCGGTTGTATTCTAATTTCATTTGAGTCGAAGCAGTTCACTGTCAGCACCACCTTCGATCCCTTTCTTCCTCGCTTCCCCGGCGTCGCCGCCGAAGCTCCGCCTGCCGGACAGAATTTCTTCCCCGTGGAACTATCACCGTTTTCCGCGTTTCGAAACAATCTCCACCACTTCTCCTTGCTTTCGTTTTGTTTAAGGTTTCTATTCTCTTCAATTTCGCTCAATCCTTTTGCACTTCATTTTTTTGTGCTTTTGATTTAAATGATGTTGAATTGCATTGTTTGGGTAATTTCGAGATTGGAATGAGAGTTATGGTAAAAGTTATCTTATGGAGATTAAATATTTTGATTTCATGAACACATATTGTTCTCTAATTTTGGCTTCTCGCAAATAGTTGTTTTGCTTTAGTGTTTGGGACTGGGAGTATTGGAATTGATCTTAGTTTACTTATGATACATGTAGGGTATTAGTAAATTATGAATTGACTGAAATATGGACATTGGTTTCATGCTGGATTAATCATTGGAGATTTTGCTTTAAATATATAGATTAGGGAGGGAAGGGTTTCTTGTGAGAGAGCATTAGAATGAAAAAAAATAAAAAAATAAAAATGAAGCAGGTGTGACTAGTGATAGTGTTAGATTTATGTTGGAAAGATAGAATGGCTTTTTGGTATCATTTGCAGAAGATAAAAGGGTGCTTAGAAATCATCTGCAGCGGGTCAGTGTTTTTTAAATTGTTTTTTGTTTGGGATTTGAACTTGACATGGCTTATTTTAGGCAAGCCCCATGATGGGCCGGTTTGGTGTAGTTTGAAAGCTCTTGTTCTTCTCTTATGGGTTTGCCATTTTGCATATCTTGAAAGGATCAAATTTGGATGCGGGGAGGTATATTTAATCGGGGGGGGGGGGGGGGGGGGGTCTATGGGGATTGTGAGTTTTCTAGTTCAAACCCTTGACAAATATTTTCCTGTTTACATCCCTGGTTGAAGTCCATGAAATTCAAATGTGAAATTAATGGCATTTTTTTTCTTTTTCTGTATGTGATTCGAGGATTGCAGGTTGCTGGGGGAAAATGAAGCAAGTCTTAGGAATGGTGGTTTCCAATAAGATGCAGAAATCAGTGGTGGTGGCAGTGGATAGACTATGCTACCACAATGTGTACAACCGTTATGTCAAGCGCACCTCTAAATTTATGGCTCACGATGAGCAGAATCTCTGTAACATTGGTGACCGAGTTAGTAACATGAACTTACCCATCTAATTGGCTGATTTGTTTATCAGCAATAATTCTTTTGAATATTATCCTTGTCATTTGGTTGGTACTTGGGGTTTCCCCAGAAAAGTCAATAAAACTATTGATCTTGCCATGTTATTTTAGGTTCGGCTAGATCCTTCTCGGCCTTTGAGCAAGCATAAATGTTGGGTTGTTGCTGAAATTCTCAAGAAAGCACGGATATATGTTCCACCCTCTGCCTCGGTGGCTGATAACGTGAGCTCAGGCTCTGAAGCACCTGCTTCATAAATTGGCTTAAGGTCTGAATATATGAACTTAATTCTCATTTTGACAGCATCCCATCAAGCTTGTTTACTTTTTAAGTATTTGTATTATTCCCCCCATGTTTCTGGAAAAGGTTAGACTATTATGGACATGATTTTGGTTTCTCACTACTGGTTTCCCTTTTCCTTGTCATCCTTGCTTTTTACTGTTCTTGCTATAGTCATTCTTTAGTTTGTCATAGAATAAGAGCCTGATTTCAGCCACCCTTTAAATCCATGAGTCTATGCAAACTCATGAGAGTTATATTTTGGTGGGTTACGAATGTGTTTAATTAACTAGTTAAGAGGGGCATTTCCTTTCCCTATGCTCTCTTCTCCCCACCTCCAGCAATAAAGAAAATGTTCTGCATATAATTTTAGTTTTTCTTTCCTCCTAGCCATGTTGGTCAATTTCCTAATCCTTCAAGAGCAATGTCATGTTGGCATACAAAGGATGTCAATGGCAGGCTTCATTGTTGAGGAAATAGATGCACGAAAGGCTGCTTGGAGTTTGTAGGAAGCTTTGTTTACTCTAACACTAAAATGTTTTGAAATGTTTCCTGATGAAAAATTCTCACGTATTTTTCCACAATGTAATAAATTGAGTAATTCGGACTGAACTCTGAAGCATGATCTCATAAAGAAATATTGAAATATCATGATTTGGTTTAGGATTATAGTTCTTTTGACTGCACCACTGGTAATTACAGAATTATAGTCGGCCTTTTGGTACTAAATCCAAATTGATACATTTTCTTGGTCGAAATTAATGATCTTTATGCCAACCTTCTAGAAATTGAGTTCGAACAAAGACTGACCTCTTGATGTTACCGGTTTTCACAGGAACTAAGAAAAATGCGGGTATTGGTTTGGTTAGTATTTAGCTAAAAATGGTGGACGTCTTATATAGTAGTTAACACTTGCAAGTTGCAACCTCTATTCGATTGAGAGGATCTCGGTGGTGTTGGATATAGGATTGATTGTTGAATATTTTGATTCTTGTTTGTTTTCTGTTCTGAGAAATTTTATTTCACTTTTCCTCTGATTCTTAGAACTACCTGATGTATACATGAATTAATTTTGAATTTACAGTAGGAACATTTTTATTTAAAGTGAAAATTATTTCTGAATTGAACTTATTTGTCTTTCAATTTAGTAAATTAAATTTATATATACATGTATATATTTCAAACTAAATTAATAATAAATATATCTTTATTGAGAATCGAAATTTAGTATGTCATAAGTCGTTTTGGGATGTTTGAGGTGATACTTGTGTTTGACTCCGAATTAAATGTATCTAATTATTTTGGCTGCATGAAATGCCAAAGCATACGGTTGATTTTTTATTTTGTTTTATTTTTTTGGGTAATATAAATATAATTTGTTAGATCTCAAATCAGTTCCACAATACCGAATTCGGTCTTCTAAAGTTTCTGATCACTTATGGCCCTTTACTAAAGGATTAAATTATTAATTCGGTCTTCTAAATTTTCATTTGATATTAATTTGGTTTTTTAAAAAGTTTGACATTAAATAAATCATCTGATCATTAATAAAAGTGATATAAAAATTATTATTTTTTGGTCAAGTTATAATACATCAAAATAAGAATTATTTTAATTTTTTTTAAATTTTTAAGGGATTTGTTTGAAGTCAAATATTTAGAAAGATTATATAAATTAAACCACAAATTTAAGATATATATATATATATATATATATATATATTTGTTTTATATCAATTTCACAATTTAGTCTTCTAAAAAATTTGAAATTAAATTAAATTTTAAAATAAGGATTATATAAATAGTTTAGTTACTATACACTAAATAAGAACAATTTTGATGTATTTTTTGCTTTATAGAATTTATTTTATATTAAAATTGTTAAATAACTAAAAACTGATGTAATGCGAGTCCTTAGAGGACCAAATTACTAGTTTAGGTCTTACTAATGTGATTTAATTATTAAATTGCAAACACTTCAAATTAAAAAAATAGATCTTACGTAGGTTGTCAAGATCCGACGTATCCAATGCTTCCTATGCTGTTGTTTTGTTGATAAAGATAGTTGAGAACATAATAGAAACTTGAACCTCTAATCTGTTTTCATCTTTAGGGCGAATTTGATCCTTCCATTACGTAAAATCACTCTGCTGCATTTTCAGACGAAGTTTGATTAGATATGTCAAACTGCTATATTTTTTTGGTACTAATTGCTGTCTGTAAAAATAGGTTGTAGTTTACCGGGATCAAATAGGGAATTTTTTTTCGGATGGCTATGTTACAAATTTTATCAGCAGATTTCTTAGTAATAATATCATTACGTGCATTATGCTGCAGTATTCTATATGCATCTAGAATTGACGTTGAAATTATTGGATTCATCTGTTATGTTAGGTCAAATCTTTATGGCACTCAGTCTTGACGTTGAAATTAACGCATATGGAAGTCGTTTAGTAGTAACTTCTTATTCAAGATATTTTATCATCTACTCTCCCTGAAAAATTCCCCCATATCTAGAAAAATCATGGACCCAATTATGATGAGATTGATAACTTATGTGGGCAACACTAAAAAATGCAAATTATTAAATGTGAGGTTATTTCTTGCATTCTTTGCTATAATAGGAATTTTGATTCCGTTTGCATATCACAAAAACAGGTGAATTCAGGTTCTGGAAGTATTGAAAAAAAATATCCCAAGCCATACAGAAGTGGAAGAAGAGGTCATGAAAAATAAAAATGGGGGAAGGTAGGGCCGTAGAGGGGAACTATACAATACAAACTGAGCTGGATAATTAAGGTCTGAAGAATCATTAATACTGACCTTAAAAATTTGCAGATGCTGGATGCACATGGTGTATTAATAGCTTTCCCATCCACAGGAAGGGGTGCATTGACCTTGCAGAACACATTAATATCATAGAAAGACAAGGTTGATTATGGTAATATATAGAAATGCAAACCATACCCCACCTTTTTTTTTTTTTTTTTTTCTTTCAGGATTTTTTTTCCCACAGTAATACTGCCTCTATAACACTTTAAGCTCACAATGGTTTCATTAAAAAAAAAAAATTCAAGTTAGCAACCAAAAATATATATAGTCAATTAAAACCATTTACAAACTTAGATGCAGGGAACTTGTCAATTTATAAAGTATATTCAGTTTTAAACATGAATTATGTCTATATCAGAACACTTCAGGATATTTTAATTTTGGTGTGTCATTCATGTTCAATATCTGTGGAAATTGTTTCAATGGTGAAACTCTTTCATAATTGGATCTAATTCTTCATATATATTCTGTGTAATAAAATTTAGTAAACTGTATAAGATTTATTACAGAGAACTAACTATTAAGTTCATTTATTTGGGAGCGAGATCCATGTTCCTGATCTGACAGTTGGAGTTATTCTTTTTTTTTTTGCTGGTTTTATGTAGTTGAAATTCATTTGGTACTAACTACGTCCCTTGTCTACAAAGCAAAGTGTTTTATTAATTCTTTAGGAGTGAATTTAATCTGTCTTCTTTTGAAATAGGGGAAAGATATCATTGGGCATGCATAAAGTCGTTTTATCTTTTGCTGGTAGAAATCATTACTTAAATTATGCACTCCAGAAATACTGAAAACAAATATGCATTAATTGAGTTATCGTACGTGTGGCTGTGTTAGCTTCTAAGTTTGTTTTGCATGATTGAGAAGTCGATGTAATTATCACGTATTGTTCCATTCAATGAATAAATAATTACAGCAAAGGATAGGTCTCTCTGCAGTGCCCAATTAAATGAAGGAAAAGAAGACTGTAATTTGAATGGAATGTGAGGTACAAACAAGTGTCAATGACAATGAATGTGTGTCCTTGCCATTATGATTTCGAGAGAGTAGTGTTTGGTTGAAGAAAGGGATTACAGCACTAAGTCCCAAGTTTTGCAAAATGTGATGACAACAAGAACTCATGGTGTCCGGAAGGTATAATAATGTCTTGGAATTCATACTTGTCAAATGCATTTATTATTAACTATTAGAGGGAGGATATTCGAAATATCTTATTTTTTTATTACCATCTATTATCACTATATATTTTTAAGAGTACATAGTTATAATATTAAAATTATTATATTTTTTTTCATAAACTTTTCAAAAACTTATTGACTGACATATAATAACTTTAATATTATAACTATGTACACCCCTAATGAATGATAATAGATGGTAATAGAAAAATAAGATAGTATGAATATCCTCTCTCTAACTATTAACACTTCATAAACTATTATTTTTGTTGATATACTAAATCTTTTCCTTATCTCAAAGTGAAAGAAAGAAAAAATCGTAATATATTAAGGGATATGTTATTCTGCTTACTCTTATTCCACCTATCTTTGCCTACCTCTTTTAACACTGTTAGATTACAATCTAATATAACGATGAAGATTTGCGGGATAAAACAAACTTTTTAACCCCTTTCTTTCTCCCACTGCCTCCCACCCTTTCTCTCTCCTCCCACCCCCTTTGACGACCATCATCTTCGTCAAGCCTACCACTCCCCATCCACATCACTCTCCACCGTCCCAAATCGTGTGATCGTGAGATCAGAGTCCCAAATCGTCCTACCATGAGACCACTATCAAACAGCAATCCACCATATCACTTATCTTTGTCAACCACCATATATATATATATATATATATATATATATATATATATATATATATATATATATATATATTGCAATATTGTTAGAACGGCATCCAACCAATTCAATCAGAAACTAAATCATTAATTGATTTGGTACAAGTTATTTGGCTAATTGTGCTTACAAATTCGTACTAAATCAGGATATCGCAGGATCAATATTCGTACTAAATCAGGATATCGCAGGATCAATCAGGTCCACAAGATATATTTAATAAATTAAACATATAATTTGATTAGGTCAATTTCATAAATTGAAACTTTGTCATGTTCAGTTAATACTGCTCCAAAAAAAAATGTTGTGCTTGTGATCGTCGAAGATGATGGTTGTTGAAGGGGGTGGAAGGAGAGAGAAAGGGTGGAAGGCAATGGAATAGAGAAAATGGTAAAAAAGTTTGTTTTATTGTGTGAATCTCCACCATTGAATTAGATTATGATCTAACAGTGTTAAGAGTTGTAAGCAAATGTGTAACATCCCAGGCACTGACGAGGGCGGGGAGTGATCGCCGGTGCGAAAGGGCATGGACAAGGAGCGACTCTTGGCAGGCTTCCAGCGACGGGGTACATGAATGAATCGAATCAATACCCGAAAGAGAGAGATTCCAGAGACTGTGCTAGTATGAGACGGTACAGTTTGAGATAGCTTATAAGAACTAATTGGTACTACCTATACTAACAAGATGCATCTACTTTTCGGTAGTTCAGAACAAAAGAACTCCATAGTTAAGTGTGTTTGACTTGAGGCAATTCTGGGATGAGTGACCTCCTCGAAAAACGAAGTGTGCGAGTGAGGACAAAACATGTTGAAAAGTCCCGTGTTAGTGTGTGGAGACAGTCGTTAATCCTTGCAAGTTGCCAGACGTTACAAAATGTAAGTAGAATAAAGGTAGACAAAATAATCTTATCTCATATATTAAGTACTTAAATAATGGGTATTATGATTCTCACCCCAACCCCTTATGAAAGGGATACTTATCTATCATAACTAATCTCTTTAAATCTTCACAGATATCAGGATTCCTGTGATCTTTACTTGAAAATATAATTAAAACATAATTACAAGTATCACTTCATCATTCTAAAATTTTTAGTGATTCTCGAAGTTATTTTTGGATATAATTAAATTAAGGATCTTGGCTTATCAAGAGTAACATTCATGTATTAACAAGAAGAAAGTTTATAATATTCAGGTTCAATTATTGGGGGATAGATTGAATATATAATCCAATAGCTTAAAAAAATAACTTGGACTTTGTTAAAAATGATTAAATTGCTACAGTTGAAAGTTGAAACATGTGAAATAAGCAACCACATTGCTCAAAGACTTGAATTGTGGAATATATTATGTATTTTATTCAAGTAGAGTGCACAAAGAAACAAAATAGAAACAAATAAAAACTTCCAATCATTGAATTTTTACATACATTAGGAATCAACTAAAGTTTTCCATGTGGATTAAGAACTTGACTTTGCTATACTGTATTGTGGAAAGTCCAAACAAAAAAGAAAGAAGTATTAAGACCCCACGAGGCAAATAACAGTTGAGCACAATCATCAACATTATTTGAGTAAGTAGTAACTCAACCAAATTCCCAATCCAATAAGCCAATTTCAATTTGTCACCAAATTGAGAAAGATTCTTTCTTCCTTCTCCCAATTGCTTATTGCTTCTCTTTCACTTCACTTCACTCTTTCTGTTAGCAAGTCCTCTCCCCCACTCTCTCTCTCTCTCTTTCATTGCTTTCTCTCTCTACCTTTTTGGCGGGAATTGGACCCACCAAATTAAAATCTCATCCTCCCCCAACTCTTAGATAATTTTTTTCTCTCATAAATATACAAACAACTTGCTTTCTTTCTTACTTACTCTTGCAACCTTTTCTAACACATCTTCCAAAACGGTGTCGTATTCTAAATGAGCTTTACTTTCTTCCTTCTCTTCCTCCTCTTCTTCTTTCACCCTGTCGTTTCTCTTTCCTCCGACGGCCTTGCACTTCTAACTTTAAAATCCGCCGTCGATGGCGGCGGCGCCTCCGTGCTCTCCGACTGGAACGACGGAGACCCCACCCCGTGCCGGTGGTCCGGCATTAGCTGCGCCAACATCTCCGGCCTTCCGGAGCCCCGCGTCGTCGGAATCGCCCTTTCCGGCAAGGGTCTCCGAGGCTACCTCCCGTCGGAGCTCGGCACTCTTCTCTACCTCCGCCGTCTCAACCTCCACACCAACGCCTTCCGCGGCTCCATCCCCTCCCAGCTCTTCAACGCCACCGCACTTCACAGTATCTTCCTCCACAGCAACAACCTCTCCGGCAACCTCCCTCCCTCCGTCTGCAACCTCCCCCGCCTCCAAAACCTCGACCTCTCCGACAACTCTCTCACCGGCGCCATCCCTGAGTCAATCAGAAACTGCTCGCAACTCCAGCGCCTGATCCTCGCCCGGAACAAATTCTCCGGCGAGATTCCGGCGGCTCCGTGGCCGGACCTGCAGAGCCTAGTCCAGCTCGACCTGTCCGCTAACCTTCTAGAAGGTTCGATCCCGGACCAAATCGGCGATCTGAGGTCCCTCGCCGGAAGCCTAAACCTCTCGTTCAATCACCTAACCGGTAAGCTTCCCAAGTCTCTGGGGAAGTTACCAGTGACGGTTAGCTTCGATCTCCGAAACAACGATCTCAGCGGCGAGATTCCTCAAACGGGGTCGTTTTCAAACCAGGGACCCACCGCGTTCCTCAACAACCCAAACCTATGCGGGTTCCCTCTGCAAAAACAGTGCACCGGTTCAGCGCCGAGTGAACCGGGTGCGAGTCCCGGTTCGGTCCGTGGACACACGAACCGGTCCAATAAAGGGCTTAGTCCCGGTTTGATCGTTCTGATATCAGTGGCTGATGCTGCTGGGGTGGCTTTGATTGGTCTTGTGATTGTGTATGTTTATTGGAAGAATAAAGACAAATCCAATGGGTGTAGTTGCACTGGGAAAACCAAGCTTGGCGATCTGAACAATGAGAAATCAAGGTTATTTTGTTGTTGTTATCGTTGTGGTTCTTCTTCTTTGGGATGCATGAATGGGTTCAAGAGTGATGATTCTGAGGTGGAGGAAGGTGAGAAAGTAGAGGGTGGTGGGAGAGGAGGGGAAGGGGATTTGGTGGCCATTGATAAAGGTTTCAACTTTGAGCTTGATGAGCTATTGAGGGCCTCTGCATATGTGTTGGGGAAGAGTGGGTTAGGGATTGTGTATAAGGTTGTGCTTGGGAATGGGGTACCTGTGGCTGTGAGGAGATTAGGTGAGGGTGGGGATCAACAGAGATACAAGGAGTTTGTTGCTGAAGTTCAAGCCATTGGTAAAGTCAAGCACCCTAATATTGTGAGGTTGAGAGCTTATTATTGGGCTCCTGATGAGAAGCTTTTGATCAGTGATTTCATCTCCAATGGCAATTTGACCACTGCCCTTAGAGGTCAGTTCTTTTCACATTTTTGTTCCTCTGTTTCTTTTTCCTTTTCCTTTTGGGTCATTCATTTCATTCATTCATTGCATTCAGTGATGAAGGGGGCTTGACCTCCATTTTTACTCCTTACCATACATATCAGAGTGGCTTGCTTTGGGGAAAGAGTGGACACAATGATGACTAATGATGAGAGTTAATAATAATGACAGACATTAGATCTTAGATAATGTAATATAAAATTTTAGGAGATTGTTATTAAAAGCTCAATTTTGTTCTATTTGATCATCTCAAATTTTTGAGATGAATGGTTTTTTTATCAACAAAATATTGAAAATAAGGTAGTAACTAGTATAGGCTTGACCGCTTGAGCGTTTAACAACTTAAGATATACTAGTGCATTTATAAAAATTAATATATATATTGTATAAGTTCATGTACTTTAATACATAATAGCTTATTCTTTAGGAATGTTTTTATTAAATTCATATAATATTTGACATTCTGTAAGCTGTTAAATAACACGGAACTTGGTATGAGATTCTTTTCAACATTTTTGTTTTCAAGAATTAGTACAAGAGGAATTTAATGAGCAGACGAGGTTCTCTCTGAATTTTATGTTTTATGCGCTTAATAATCTGATTAATTGTTGTCCTTTTTTTAATTCAGCCAAAAGAGAATTGTTGTCCTTTTTAGAAAGGTTTTTTAGCAAAAATAATAAATTAATAATTTTTAAAAATTTATTAGAAAAGTATGCTAGATTACTTGCATGGGAATAATGAAAGAAATTGACTGTTCTGTCTTCTTCCATATCTTTATTTTTTTGGGCTAGAATTGTCTTTTCTGTTTTAGATTTGTGGGACAATGGGACCAAACTGGTTGGTTAACTGCTGCCAGTGTGCAATATTAAATTTTGAATTGTCTTGGGAGAAACACAGGAATAATCTTACTTTTTTTTTTTTTTATTTAATTTGATGTAGTTTTGTTAGATGTTTATTTATTATTGGCAAGGGGCGTTGGATCCAAGAAATTGTTTGGTGAGACAACAGTTCCTAATGTAAATGACCTGCCCTCTGGAGAGATCCGACGAGAAAGTAAGACATTCACCATGTGTCTGGGGAATGCGATGGCAATGGTGTACTCATGTTGGGACCATGAACTTCTAGAACTTTATCACATTCTCACCACATGGGGCCACAAAACAAACCAAAACTTTAGGTGGAAAAGTTACAATTTTCCACTTCCAAAGCCTTTTCTTAAGAGCAGTGTCTGTTTGACTTAATTATTCGGATTCCTTTTTAATACGTATATTTTCAGCTTATCACACACGCCCTAACAGTATCTTTTATTTTATTTTTTGAAAAATACCTAACAGTATCTTTTAAAGTAGCTTTGTATAAAGTGTCTTGTGATTGTAGGCCAAAAAAGAACTTGCAAGTTTGTGCCGCTTTTGTGCCTTTATTTCATTCAGCTAAAGTTGAACTTCCTAGTTTTTGGTTCTTTTTTTTCATAGATGAACTTCCTAGTTCTTTGACTCCTGGCGAAAAACTTTGCTTTTCCTTGTGTCATTATTTATCCTTTTGGCTAAACTTTCTTGCTTTTGAAGCAGTCTCTACCAACTTCACGATCTCTTGTATTAAACCCGGGCCCTACTATAACTGTTTTCCTACTCTCTTTGCTTCTACTCCACTTATGTCTTACTACTATAAGGAAAATGTGCTATGTAGGATTTAAGATACATAACCAATTATTAATGATTATTATATCTGAAACTATTTATAAAAATATTTGAAATTGTTGTATTTGACTTCATCTCAAGAAGATATATATCATTCTATATCGAATTTTGTATAATTTTTTTTTTTTTTTTGTATGAACAACATGCATTTGTAATAAAAAGAACTCGTGATCTGCTCTGCATTGTATTAGATTTATTATCTTCACAACATTTTTTTTGTACGAACAGCATAAATTTGTAATTGCAACAAAAAATAACTCATAATCTGCATTTGCATTCTGTGCTAGATTTATAATCTTCCCAATAAAAATTTTCAGCTACAAATAGTTCATATTTAATCCTAATTATTTATGCAGGAAGAAATGGTCAACCATCTCCGAATCTTTCATGGTCAACCAGGCTGAGAATTGCCAAAGGAACAGCTAGGGGTTTGGCCTATCTCCATGAATGCAGTCCAAGAAAATTTGTTCATGGTGACATCAAACCCTCCAACATCCTTCTTGACACAGACTTCCAACCCCTCGTTTCTGATTTTGGTCTTAACCGACTGATCAGCATCACCGGGAACAACCCCTCCTCTGGTGGCTTTATGGGTGGAGCTCTTCCTTACTTTAAGTCATCACAAACAGAGAGAACTAACAACTATAAAGCCCCAGAGGCTCGAGTTCCAGGTTGCAGACCCAATCAGAAATGGGATGTATATTCATTTGGAGTTGTATTACTTGAATTGCTTACTGGCAAGTCCCCAGATTCTTCTCCTGCCGCATCAACTTCTGTTGAAGTCCCTGACTTGGTGAGGTGGGTAAGCAAAGGGTTTGAACAAGAAAGCCCATTATCTGAAATGGTTGATCCATCACTGCTCCAAGAAGTGCGTGCCAAGAAAGAGGTGCTAGCTGTGTTTCATGTAGCACTATCATGCACGGAGGGAGACCCTGAGGTCCGGCCTAGGATGAAAACTGTCTCTGAAAATCTTGAAAGAATTGGAACATAATATCCTAATGTTTACCAGCTAAAAGTAGTGAGCCTGAGACTGGAATTTCCTTGATACACAAGGAAGATGCACTTCAGTCCCGTGATGCATTTTTGTGGTAGCATTCTGAAGATTTTCTTGTGAGGGCACCAAGATGGTGTTGCAAGTCCTTCCCATCTTGGACAAGGCCCTTATACCCTTAACTTCTGTTTTGAAGTCAAAAGCAATTTTTTTGACAGCTGTCATCACCATCACAGGTCTTATCTCATCTTTATTCTTTTTTGGCGAAATATCAAGGAAGTTAGTAGATATATTTAAATTTTGTTCTGATCTCGTTCCCTCCAGAGTCTGATTACAATAATTTTACAATATGTTGAGTTATTACTTGGGATCGTGGATTCAGATGTAAGTGTATAATAAAATGTTATTAATGACAACTCAGTTTCACATTCGCTTTATTGTTTTCAAGATTGACAGTGCTCTTGAATTTACTGTTGTTTTGGCTTGTTGTATATGATGAAATAGTGTTTTACTTTTGGTAGTTATTCTGTAATATGCACTAAAATATAGTGTAAAAAATAATACGCTACAACAAGAAACTCGATAAATCCACTGATATACGTTTTAAACTCGATAATACATTGTAAGATTTAATTTTTTTTTAACATTTTCTTTATTATTTGTAAAGTTTTCATATTGGTCTTACTAAATAACCTGAGTCAACTACCCACACAAATATTTACTAAATAACAAAGGGATTGTTAAAAAAAGGGAAAAAAATGTTTATTCTTATAAATAACACAATTTATATCATTTCACTCTCATAAAGTGTTGTAAATAATATTGATTTAGTTATTATTTAGTTTTTATTTAGTCATTTATTGTTGTATTGGGCCAAGCCCTTTGTTGTATTGGGCCAAGCCCATTAGGTTAAAAGTAGGTCAAATATTCTCTATAAATAGAGAACCCTTTTGTACAGATTATTGACAATTCTATAATATATTAGAATACCCTTTTTCAAGTTGGTATCAGAGCTCTCGATCTGAGGGCTTTGCTTCCGCACATATTATCTTCTTTTTTTAACAAAACCCTAATTTCTTTGCCTCTTGCCGCCATTAGCCGCCACCGGAAATTTTTTCCGGAGACATTTTGGACCAAGGGGACCATTGTTGACCTTATTTTCCTCCGATCTATCATTCTACACACTGTTCCTCCGCCACAAACGACCGAAACACCTCCGACCGCCTCCAATCAGATCTGTCTTCACCGTTTGGACCACTTTCCGGCGACTTTTCAACCGCGACCACCCACAGACAGGTGCGCGCTCACTGGACGACCACACCAGAAAAATCTCAGCCGGTGAAGCCCATCCACGCGCTCTCACGCGCCGCCTCTTTCCCGGCGAGTGAATCCCACGCACAGCTCCTTTCTCCGGCTCGTGGAGGCGCGTGCGGCCGTGTTTTTGGACCGGACCACCACCATTCTTCTCGTCTTCTTGTCTTCTGTCTGGATCTGTAATTATTTTTCTGATCAGAGGTCATTTGATATTCTGTTTGGTTGATTTTATCGCTGGTTGTTAACTTTTTTTGTTAAAGAATGGCCGAGCATGATAGTTCTTCGATCTTATCTGGTAAGAGCACACGTTCTATATCTCTTCTTGCTTCTTGCACTGATTTTAAAACCTCATGGATTTTGGATTCTGGTGCAACTGATCATATGGCTTGTCGTACTGAGTTGTTTTGTTCTTATCATCCTACTGTTGGTAGTCATACTATATCCGTAGCTGATGGATCCCATAAATCAGTTATTGGTTCTGGTAACATTCAAATTCAACCTTCCTTGTTTCTTAAAAATGTTCTTTATGTTCCTCAGCTTTCTACTAATCTTATCTCCACTCAAAAACTTACAACTGATTTGAATTGTTCTATCACATTTTTTCCTTCTCATTGTCTTATTCAGGATCTTACCACGAAGAAGACAATTGGAGTTGCTAATGAACAGGATGGGTTGTATCATCTCCTTCCAGACCATGCTAGCAAAAATCAGTTATTAATGACACGCCATCCTTCTACTGCAGAGTCTATGATTTGGCTCCATCACAAGCGTCTCGGGCATCCACCATTTAGTCTTTTGAAGTTTATGTTCCCCTCTCTGTTTCTCAATAAGTCGGTTGAGACCTTTCATTGTGATGTTTGTGAATTTGCAAAACACCATCGAGTGTCATTTCCTTCTAGCACTATTAAAAGCAAGGAACCTTTTTCTCTTATCCATTCTGATGTTTGGGGCCCTTCTAAAGTGCACAGTGTTTCAGGTGCTAGGTGGTTTGTTTCTTTTATTGACGATTGTACTCGGATAACATGGATATACTTGATGAAAGACAAATCTGAAGTACCAGAGATATTTATTCGGTTTTATCACATGGTTGAGACTCAGTTTGGTAAGGGTATTAAAAGACTCAGATCTGATAATGGTACTGAGTACGTCAATCAACGCCTGTCACAATTCATTTCAGACAGAGGTATGATTCATGAGCTCACATGTGTTGATACCCCTCAACAAAACGGGGTTGCTGAAAGGAAAAATCGTCACCTTCTTGAAGTTGCTAGAGCACTACTTTTTCAGACATCTGTTCCTAGTTCTTATTGGGGAGAAGCAATATTAGCTGCAACTTTTTTGATCAACCGTTTACCTTCACGGGTCCTTAACAATATCAGTCTTATTCATTCCATGACTTCCTTCTTTCCTTCTGTTCCAATATTGCAGAGCCTTCCACCAAGAGTGTTTGGATGTGTTGCCTTTGTCCATGTTCATAAACAACATCGGAGTAAGTTGGATCCTAGGGCTCTTAAGTGTGTCTTCCTTGGTTATAACCCTTATAAAAAAGGGTACAAGTGTTATCATCCACCAAGTCGGAAATTTTTTGTTTCTATGGATGTCACCTTTCAAGAATCTGAATCTTATTTCCTGGGTCCTCATCGTCAGGGGGAGAATAGTTCTTCAGAAGACTCGTCCCCTTCCTTCTTTGAGTCTGGATCAATCTTCTCTCTTCCTAGTGTGTCTGCTCCTGGTGTGTCAGAACCTTCAAATACACCTGAGATACAACCCATACTGTCTCACCAGCAACCTCAATCGTCTGAACCACTGGTAAGTCCTGAATCTCCTATTTCTTCTGAGTCTCCTGAATCTCCTGTTTCTGATTCTAATATTATTTCCTCTCATGATTTGTCTATTTCCTCTGATATCTCTAATGACTTACCCATTGCTTCTACTTCTGATAACTTACCTATTGCTCTTAGAAAAGGAAAAAGATCTTGTCACAAGAAAACTTGTTCCTCCTGTCCCTCTTGTACTCAATACCCTATCTCCCACTTTGTTTCCTCTGCTAATCTTTTTGTGCAGCACAAAAGCTTTGTTTCAGCACTAGATTCTATTGCAATCCCAAAATCAGTACATGAAGCCTTGAAAGATAGGAATTGAGCTCAAGCCATGCAAGAGGAGATGAATGCTTTGGAGAAAAATAAAACATGGGAGGTTATTGGTAGACCCAACGGAAAGAAAGCAGTAGGGTGCAGATGGGTTTATGCCCTGAGATATAATTATGATGGCACTCTTGAGAGATATAAGGCTCGATTAGTGGCCAAAGGTTACACTCAAACCTATGGCATTGATTATGAAGAAACCTTTGCTCCAGTTGCAAAGATGAATACAGTTAGAATCTTGTTATCCCTTGCTGCCCATTACAATTGGGATATAAATCAATTTGATGTGAAAAATGCTTTCCTCAATGGTGAGTTAGAAGAAGAAGTCTACATGGAAATCCCGCCTGGTTTTGATTCTGTGAAGGGGGAAAATAAAATTTGTAGATTAAAAAAGGCCTTGTATGGATTGAAGCAGTCACCTCGTGCTTGGTTTGGAAGATTTACTAAGGTTATGATGACCTTAGGATACAGACAGAGCCAAGGAGATCACACTCTTTTCTTCAAGCACTCCCAAAATGGGAAGCTTACTGTGCTCCTTGTATATGTTGATGATATTATTATCACAGGTGATGATTTTGTGGAGAGACAGATTCTGCAAACACGGCTTGCCTCTGAGTTTGAAATCAAAAAACTGAGATATTTCCTAGGGATAGAAGTAGCTCATTCAAGCAAAGGAATTTTTATCAGCCAGAGGAAATATGTTCTTGATCTTCTCAAAGAAGCAGGAAAGCTCGGGTGTAAACCCTCTAATACTCCTATTGAGCAGAATCACAAGATGGACTATGAAGAAGAGAGTCCTCCAGTTGATAAAGGACAATATCAACGGCTAGTTGGGAAATTGATATATCTGGCCCATACTAGACCAGACCTAGCTTATGCTGTTAGTGTTGTCAGTCAGTTTATGCACGATCCAAAAGAAAAACACATGCAGGCAGTAGAGAGAATTCTTCAGTATCTTAAAGGTACTCCTGGTAAAGGATTGTTATTCCGACGTGATGGCAATCTATCTTTAGAAGTCTACACAGATGCTGATTATGCTGGATCCGTGACTGACCGTCGTTCTACCACTGGTTATTGCATGTTTCTTTGCGGTAACTTGGTGACATGGAGAAGTAAGAAACAAGATGTGGTTGCCAGATCAAGTGCAGAAGCTGAATTTCGAGCTATGGCTCAAGGCATTTGTGAGTTACTGTGGCTAAAAATTGTACTTGATGATCTCAAAATAAAATGTGAGGGACCTATGAAGCTGCTATGTGATAATAAGTCCGCTATTTGTATAGCTCATAATCCAGTTCAACATGATCGGACTAAACATATTGAGGTTGACCGCCATTTCATCAAAGAGAAACTTGATAGCGGGTTGATTACCACTCCATACATTCCCACTGGGCGTCAATTAGCTGATCTATTAACAAAAGGGCTTCCTTCAGACAGATTTCAAGAACTTACTAGCAAGCTGGGAATGATAAATATCTATTCCTCAGCTTGAGGGGGAGTGTTGTAAATAATATTGATTTAGTTATTATTTAGTCATTTATTGTTGTATTGGGCCAAGCCCTTTGTTGTATTGGGCCAAGCCCATTAGGTTTAAAGTAGGTCAAATATTCTCTATAAATAGAGAACCCTTTGTACATATTATTGACAATTCTATAATATATTAAAATACCATTTTTCAAGTTAAAGAGGTGAAACTCACATCTTTATATATTTTTGTTTACTCTCTTTTCTCCTTTATTTATCTCTTTCTCTCACTTAAAATGATACAACTTTACATCCTTTAAAATGATAGATACTTTTCCCTTAAAAAAAAATGTGTTAACAATTTTATAATCTAAAATGAAGTGTTGCAATTGGACATGATGATGATATGAGTGATCTCACTGTATACTTTTTATGTCAATACAAGATTTATATCCAAGACGATGCACGGAATTGTTTCGTTCTTTCCGTTAGCATAGTAGATAACAGTACATAAAAGCGTAAATTAAACCGAATAAAAAATGAGAAGCACCCCCATCATATGCATATGGAGTGAGGCTGAGAGCAAATTAGATTGAACGAATTCTCTCATATTAAAATTTAATATGATTTGATGATGTTAGAATTTTGTATCTATCTTTTTGTTCGATAATATTGGTTGAATCCCACTAATTTATCGTCTAGAAAGAGAGTTATAAACACAAAATTTTAACATGTAATGAAGAAATTAGCAGACCACAACATTCATAATTAAAGCAGTGGGTAGTCAAAGTTTAAGAGTACTTGAGCAAGTAAATGGTCCGTTTAATTGATTTTTGAAATAATCAATTTTATTAAACGTCTTTTTAAAAGATTTTTGATTAAATTTTTATTTTATTTTATACCAAAGAGGCTGGTTCAAGTAATTTTACTTTAGCAATATCTTAGATTCAAGTCTTTATAAATGTAATTTTTTCTCGAGAGTTAGTCCTATTACAATGTAAATATTTCTGACTTAGAATAAAATTGTCTCTCGTAGTTACGATTGTTTATAAAAAAATTATTCTACAAAAGATAAAAAGAAGTATCATCTAAAAGGATATAAATTGTGTTCTTTTAGGTGATTTACACAAAGTATGACCGGTCATACTTTATGTAAATCTGAAAAATTACTTTTTTTTTTTTCTTTTTTCAGTCACATCGCTGACGTGTAAAGTGAAAAAAAATAACTTTTTAAATTTAAACAAAATATAACCGATCATACTTTACGTAAGTGACTAAAACAACATAATTTATATGATTTTAACTGACAAAAACCTTTATAAAATTAGTTGATCTAAACGAACGACAAAATGGTACTAAAATATGAGTACATCTTGTACTAAAATTTACGTACATTTCCATTAGGTTGAACTGTTGTACTTTATAAAAAAAAACATGAGGCTCAAATTCCTAAACGTAAACAATTTTGGAGACCCAAACAGAGCATGGCCCTACCAACACAGATATTTATTATTTATTTATTTTTTCTGGCCATATAAATACATATATCCGTTAAATTCAAAACAAAAAAATAAAGAAAAATGAAGATATAGTTGAGCTCTGTTTGGTTTCGCCACTTTTCATTCTTCTGATTCTGATGCTCCAAATTGAGAATGGCGTCTTCTCTCTCTACCTGTTTTCTCTGCATACACTCTTTGAAATCTCCAACACTAACCACAAAACCTCATTGCTTTGCTCGTCTTCGAGTTCGAGTTGCAACTAAAGCTTCTCTTCACAACAACAGTGACAACACTGATTCTGATGAAACTCCGTCCCTCCAATCCACCTCCCCTAAACAAGTTCATAATTCGTTTTCTTCTCTGCTTCCTCGTTTCAGGTACTCTTTGATTTTGATTTCCAAGTGGAGCTGGGATTTTTTTTATTTTTTATTTTATTTGGTTTTGAATTGTTTCGAGTTAAATTTTAATTTTGATTTGTTTTTTTTTAATTTTTAAATTTGGGTTTTAAAGTTTGTTTCTTGGGATCTTAACAAAAATTGGTAGCTTAAATTTGATGAATTTGTTGTCTATGCTTTGTTTTGAGTTTAATTTTAGTGGTAAAGTGAATTTTGATTTGGTTTAAGATTTGTTTAGTTATTTATAACTTGAGTTTTGAAGTTTGTTTCTTGGTATTTGAACAGACATGAGTGACTTTCATTTAATGAATTTGTTGTTTATGCTTTATTTGAGCTCAGTTTTGTGCTTAATTGGGATTTTGAAATTGATATAAGGGTTTTAATATAGTTATTTGTGAATTGGGGTTTTGAAGTTTGTTTCTTGGGCTTTGAACAGAAATGTGGTGCTTAATTTTGATGAATATGTTGTTTGTGCTGCATGTGAATTTAATTTTATACGTGATTGGGATTTTGAAATTGATTTGAGGGTTTTATTTATTTAATTAGTTGTAAATTGGAGTTTTGGAGTTAGTTTCTTTGGCTTTGAAACGAAATGGATGGCTTAAATTTGATGAACTTGTCGTCCATGCTTTGTTTGAATTTAATTTTATGCATAAGTGGGATTCTGAAATTGATTTAAGGGTATTTATTTATTTATTATATATTGGGGCTTTGAAGTTTGTTTATTGGACTATGAGCAGAAATGGTTGGCTAAAATTTGATGAACTTGGGATGGATATACTGTCCATTGCACTTCCTGCTGCTTTGGCTTTGGCGGCTGACCCACTCGCCTCATTGATTGACACAGCATTCGTTGGCCACATAGGTATTTCTGTGGAAAGAGTTTATGATTGAAATTTTAATTATTCTAATTGCTTAGCATTGTTGGCTGTTTAATAAATAATTGTAATCCTGTTGTTGTCAATGACAATGATGGTAGCAAGTATTGGCTTTTCTCTGGTTCTGTTTGTTTTGATTTATATTGATCTATGTTTGTTGTAGTAGAGAGAATTCTCCCTTAATTAGTTTTATCTATGCAGGGGCAGTTGAACTGGCGGCAGTTGGGGTTTCAGCTTCTGTGTTTAATCTTGTCTCAAAAGTATTCAATGTTCCTTTACTTAATATTACTACATCCTTTGTTGCGGAGGAGCAGGCACTAATTAGTAAGGAGGAAGGTTACAGCCGAAGTGATGAAAGTGGTAAGTTGTTCAAGAAAGCTATCACACTTTTAGTAGGATGTCTACTTTTCCTGGATATGGTTTTAGATTTCTTCTTCAGATGTATCTACTGAGAGTTCTGGTCTTATGTGGGTGTTATCAAGATTTTTCAAGCAAGTATCAAAGCAAGAAGCTCCTTCCTTCAGTATCAACTTCTCTAGCACTCGCTGCAACTCTTGGAATTGCTGAAACTGTGGCACTTTCCCTTGGCTCTGGCATTCTTATGAATATCATGGGTATACCCGCTGTATGTCAAACTTGGCTGATTATTGATCCATACATCAATTCATTTTTTTATTATGCTTCTTCATGTAATACTTTCTTCTTGAGTCTGCACTTTGCTGAGCAAGACAACCTCACCCACCCAACTCTAGGAAAAGGAAAAAATAAAAATAAAAATCATTGGTTGCAAACACTAGAAGCAAAGTAATTTATTCAGGGTTAGATCTAAATGTATTTATACAACGTCTGTGTGGATGAGGTAGAGCTATCATGAAAATATATCTTAATTGTGTAAAGAACCTTGGGATACACCACCCCAAAAACTAGCTCAAAGGGTGGGAGTGCTCAAGGCCTTATAAAGGCCACATTAGTTGCCCACACAATCAATGTGGGACTATATATCTCAACACGCCCCCTCACGCAAGAGTCCTTTGGGCTAGAAGCGTGGAATTGCATAGGCCCAATTTTTGGTTTACCTTTTTGTGCTTTTTATTTTAATTCCACTTTAAAGTGGGGGACGGTGAGACTCTGATACCATGTAAAGAACCTTGGGATACATCACCCCAAAAGCTAGCTCAAAGGGTGGGAGTGCTCAAGGCCTTATAAAGGCCACATTAGTTGCCCACACAATCAATGTGAGACTATATATCTCAACAGAAAGCAATATTCAGCTAATGTTTCGCATTTATATTGAGGTTTGCTCATACAAGTGTGTTTAGTTGCTTATAACCTTGTTTTCTGTTGTACAATTGCTAGTGAAATTTTTTCTTACTCTGTTCTTATATGCTAGATAGTGGTGTAGAAATCATGGGATATATTGGGAAAAAAAATGAAAAATAAATTTCAGATGTAAAATTATGTTTCATTTTAAGTAAGCTTTTATTTGTCATATGAAATGTGTTGAGGATGGCTCTCATGCCTAAGTTAATTTCTATAACAATTTGGAAAACTTTAAAGACCAATTTCATTCTGTAATTGTAGCATAATAGTTAATCATACATGTTTTGATCAATTCAAGAAGCATATTAATAATCAATGTAAATTTACTTTGTTTTGCTTCACATTCATCAGCTATCAGTCCTATTGTTTGGCTTTCCAATTTTTTTTATAAACACTGGTATTTTGTTGCTTTTTTGTTGGTTTGGGGTCATGAAAAGTAAACAAAGCATTTTTTCAGCTCTTCATGGGTGTTTGATTTATATAATTTAATTTTACTTGCATAATCTTAGACTGAATAGAGATCTTATTTGCATCATTTGTTCCATTTTATATGCTGTACAGGATTCTTCCATGCGTGGACCTGCTGAGCATTTTCTTACATTGAGGGCCTTTGGTGCTCTTCCAATTGTGATTGCATTAGCTGCACAAGGCACTTTTCGTGGATATTTGGATACAAAGACGCCCCTATATGCTGTTGGCAAGTATTGCAACAGCTTCTTCTCTCTCTCTCTCTCTCTCATATGTTACATGCAATTGAAATTAGGAATTTCTTCATGGGGTTCTTTTGGCAAGGATACTTTGTCACTAATTTTAATTGGCAATAATACTTAAGTTTTTAATTATAACGGCAGAGAGTTAGAAGTAATTCAATTTAGACAAGAAATTAACGCTTAAATATGCCTTTGAGAATCAAGAGAAAGAGACAAAGTATGACATAATTTGAAAAATTGAATTCAAACAAGTATACATTGGCAGAATCCAAAAACAGAAGGCTCTGTTGTTTATACTTTATGGATGTGCCCGTTTTATGCTGTTTATAAATGGAAAGATGCAACAAATTTTACTTTGTTGACAACATGATCATTTAAACAATCTTAATTCTTGGTAACGGCTCTGTTGGACTACTATATGAAATGCAGGCTCAATGCAATTTTACAATAAAGAATGATGAATGAATTAGGGATAACGCTAGGCAAATAGCTATTACCTGCAAAATCTTTTTGGGTTTTCTTCATTTTACCTTTTTCTGCATAAAAGAGAAAGCAGATGTTTGGCTTTCTAATTTACATTTATGATTTACATGATGATTTTCTATAAATTCTCACTGCACATTGGTTCCATGGGCTATCTTTTTCTTTGTTTTTACATGTTTATACCTGCAAAATGCTCCATGCAGCTCTGCCAGTGTTGCTTTGGAGAAGTAGGAGTATATGTCTAGGTAAAAGGATTTGCTGGATGTGTAAATGACTAAGGCTTGTCTTGAAATGTCAGGTGCTGGCAACTTTCTTAATATCATATTGGATCCGATATTAATATTTCTTTTTGGTCTTGGCATTGGTGGTGCTGCAATTGCCACTGTGATCTCTGAGTACGTCAGTGCTGTGGTAAACTTAGTATTGTCTGGGCATTTTGCACATGTCCCTTAGTTCATGTGATCTTCTGCTTTTAACAGAGTTTGTCTTTATGTTCACCAGATACTTAACAGCTTTCATTCTTCTATGGAAATTAAGTGGCAAAGTTCTGCTAATCCCTTTTGATTTTGATGGAAGAAAAGTTTTCAGCTATCTGAAATCTGGTACTTTTTCCCAATTAAGTTAAATTGTTGCTTTGGCTTTCCTTATCCTTCAAACAAAATGATTAGTTTTGGTAATGATAATGGAATGATCAGAGTCGATCGGAAAAGTGATTACTAGATTCAGCAGTATGTCATTGGAATTTTCCAAGACATACTTCACCTGTGCATGATTGTGGATAGCAAAAATTTAACTCATTGAGTATCTCAACTCAACAATGCCTTATCTTCAAAACTAATCAACTAAATGCGAGTATGGGGATCATATATATTTTTGGTTTTTGTTATTTTATGCTTCAAGTGTATTCTCTATTGATTTTGCATTTATTTCTACCTTTTGCTTGAAACTCTTGGTGAGACTTTACTTGTTAATTCAAGTTTGATTTTACTGTTTAATGTCTAGTCAGTTGGAATGAGAGTTTTTAGAAACTAGAAGGATAATAATTTGTCCTCCAACAATATTTGTTGGAGATCTTTGTAGGTTAGTTCACAATATAAAAAATGTGGGAATTAAATTGATTTTTTTTCCTTGACCGGTCGAACCTAGTTTCACATGTGACTGTTTCTTAGTAATCTATTGCTGATAGAACTAGATGAGATTGACTGATTTTAAAAGTAATGTATTATAATATTTATTGAATAGAGTCCATTTTCCAAAGGATATTACAATTGCATTGCCTCTTAAAGGTGAATTTGGTGGCATTTGAACTTTTGAAAGGAATTTTGTGTCTATTGGCTGATGATAATGTATTGTTTTGTATTTTTAGCTATGAGATATGATTTACATTAGCTTGAAAATGTTTCTTTGGTTAACAACTTCTATGACTTGACAGAAGACATGATATGAGTTAAGAAGCAATATGGATTAATTTTTGCTTTTAACTATTGCATTCTGTAGGTGGTCTTCTTATTGGCAGGACTTTGGCTGTTTTTATAACTATCACACTGGCAACATCTGTGGCAGCTAAGCAGGGCCCTATATCTATGGCAGGTCATCAAATTTGCATGCAAGTTTGGTTGTCTGTATCTTTGCTCACTGATGCTCTGGCGCTTGCTGGTCAGGTTAGATAATATTATTGCATTGGACTATAAAGTGCATGTTATTTAGATATAGACCAAAATTTCACTAGATCAAATGATCAAAACATATCTCATGGCAGTATGGTCAACTCATGAATTCAAGAATAAAATTTTATTTTATTTTATTTGTATGAAATGCAATATGGTCAACATTTCGTGACTTTCCCTAACCATGAAATCAAGCAAATTGGGTCATTAAGTTTTAAAACTTTTGCTGATAAGAAAAAATGATTTCAAACTTCTAAGCAAAATACCGTCCCTTGCACGATAAGATTGATATTTTTCCATTTTGTAAGATACTGAAATGGTATTAGTAAGGAATTCCAGTATTCTACCAGATCCTCCAATGTGGCAAAAGAAAAAATTGGTAAGTATTGAAAGAATTGGCTGTGTCTCATGCTACTTCGACTGACACAGATGGTATGAATTCTACTTTTAGTTGAATTCATATTATTTAAGATATGACACAAACATATTGTTTGAAAATTATTGGGTGATTGGAAGTTGTTTGGCTGAAACTTACTACGTTATGTTGTTATAATGACATCTTTTACAGGCACTTCTTGCCAGTAGTTACTCCAAGGGAAATTATGAACAAGCACGCCTCATTATATATAGAGTGCTACAGGTTACTGATTGTTGTCACCATAAACTGCTTCCCTCCTTCCTTCATGTTTTCTTTTAATGAGGTTGGAACTTATACTGATCAACTTTCTCCTCCTACTCTGAAACATGTCAAACAGATTGGTTTAGGAGCAGGAATCACTTTGTCTATGATCTTATTCTTTGGGTTTGGAGCATTTTCTAGTTTATTTACCTCAGATTCGGAAGTTCTGGATGTTGCTCAGTCAGGTATATTGGTAAGAAATCACAATTTTTTGCAGAAAAGTAGATTTACTACCATTTTGTAGGCTTCATGCCACTCCCTAGTTGTCATGGATTGACTTTTAAGAATCAGGTGATCAGCCTGTCCAAAAGTGGGACTGAGTGGCTAAATCAGGTCCTTAAGGACCAACTTGAAATTGAAATCCTTATGGTTGAAAACCTTACACTATATAGTGTATTTACTGGGGAAGGAGTTTGTCCAATAAAGTAAAGAGTGCAACTCTCTTTTTTTCCCTCAAAAAATGGAATACCTTGAACTATTTATCTTCTAAAGTTACTTGGTTGTGATGAATGCATAAACTTAGGTCATTTTGATATTTTCTGCCAAATTTTTTCTTACAGAGTATGAATTGCCATAATTGATCAATATAATCGATTGTTGCATGGCTACAAGTTGAACTGAATTTCTTTTAGATTTCCATTTACATAGAAATCTATTTTTAGATTTATACTCCTATTCCTCTTATATGGATAAATCATATCTTGCCTGCTGAAAACTTTCCGGATAAATTGAAAGCTGATGTTTTAGGACAGAATCCGAAGTTATGTGCTTGAGGGGCGTTTTAGTAATGCTACCTTTTAGTGGGACTAATATATGTTCATTATATGTATTATGATTTTCTATGCTTTATGTGGATGCATTTTTATATAGTAATGTCGTTTGAAACATCTGAAATTTACTCGCATGTGCAGTTTGTTGCTGGAACTCAACCAGTGAATGCTTTGGCATTTGTTATTGATGGAATTTATTATGGGGTATCGGACTTTGGATATGCAGCTTACTCTACGGTAATTACCAAGTCCAATAATTAAACGATACTTAAACATTTCATATGATATTTTCCTCTTAACTTATTTCCTTTTGCCTTTTTTTTTTTTTTTTTTTTTCCATTCTTTCTTTCTTCCCTTTTGTTTTTGGCTTTTGTTGTTGGTAGGTGCTAGTTGGACTAGTTTCTTCAATTTTCCTGCTTGTGGCTGCTCCAGTACTTGGACTTCCTGGAGTCTGGGCAGGACTGTTTATCTTCATGACTTTGCGTGTTCTAGCTGGAGTTTGGAGGTAAAGTCTTTAGTTCATTTTGATGGTGATAATTTGGAGACTTTGTATTGGTGGATTATGATCCGTCTTACTATTAAAATTCAAATCTTAGCTCAAAGAACTATGGCAAAATGATACAGGATATGTTCTCTTCTGAAGATTACTATTGAGTTTTAATATTTATATTATCTTATTTTTAAGGTTTAGCAGCAGAAGTGGCCAATGGGGTATGATCTGGTATGAAGATGGAACAAGAGACTGACTAACTTGCATTCAAAGTCATGTATTCAGTATTCAGAAGTTCCAGCTTTCACTTATCAGGAGGTTGAAAGGCCATTTTCAGGATGCTCAGTACATGATTCTCAAGAGTTCTACTATACGGACACTAACAGGCTTTGCACCCCCTCTAATCCCTGCAATTGAAGAGAATCCAGTAGCAGTGCAGGATTATAGTAAATCATTAGAATGTCAGAGTAATTGCTGCAAATCAGTTGTCAAAATCTGGCTGGTGCAAGTAGAGAGAGTTTGAATGGCCAAAAGAAGCACTGAGAGGGAGAAAATTATTGAATGACCAAGCCTGCAGCATAGAAGCCAAGTCTTTTGGCCTTGTGGCTTTTGTTGGTAATTTGTATTTATTAGGAGATTGTGCAAAGCTTTGTCTATGTTTGGTGTGTAGTATGTGTTCTTCTTTTGATGAGTCCTGGTCATTTTCATTATTAGTGTGACGAAATTACCAAACTCCTTGAAGACTGGCAATGTTAATTTTAAATTAGCCATATAGAAAAGAAGAAAGTCTTTTGAAATGCAATTGCGTTGTGTACCTTATGAACCTTACCTATGGTAATTGTAGGTAAGCAACCATTGGTTTGTTCTCTAAGATACATCATTCTGATTTGTTTGTTAGTAAGGGTTATTATTCATCTCTGCTTGGTCAATAATAATCAATAGGTAATTATGACATAATAGTTATTAAAGGGATTTGAATCCTCTCATATATAAAAATGATAATTTGATCATGTTATTTGATCATAATTACTTATTTAAAAATCATATATTTTTTTCTTTCTTATCTCATCACAATAAGTGATTGTGATTAAATAATATAATTATATGATCACTCTTTTTACATGAGAGGATTCAAATCCATTATCACAGTATTCAATATTTATTGTAAACAATCTCGACAACTGCGTGTCATGTGAATCAACTATAGTTTAAGATTTTATTAACGATAATTCTAACTACTATATAAAATTAAATGGTGCTTCTCTCTCTAAAATTTAAATTTTTGTTTTATAATTTTGTATAATTTATATTTAATATTACTTCTTAATGATACTTTTCATTAATTTTTATAATATTTTCTAATTTTCTTGAAAGATGTGAAATCTCATTTTATACTAATACTAGAGGTGGCAAAGTGGGTGGCCCGCTCCGCCTTGCCCCACCTCGTCAAAAAATGAGTCCGCCCGTCTCGCTCCGCTTTTGAAAGTCGGTTGAAAAACTCAGCCCGTCCCGCCCCGTTTGGCGGGTTGGGCGGGTTGGCCGCCAGCCCGAGCCTATTTTACACTGACCCGCCTCGGCCTGCCTATGCCCGCCATCAACCCGCCAAAAAATGAGCATGTCCCGCCCCGCCCCGCTTTTGAGATGGGTTGAAAAACTCAGCCCGCCTCGCTCCGTTTGACTGGTTGAGCCAAGTCTGTTTTACCGAGTCTAACTAATACCCTGCTATTTGTCCCAATCAATAAAAATTTAAAAGAAACCTTTGGGAGTTTCTACCGTCACCCCAATACTAATTTAGAATTTAAATAAACAAATATAGTAACTAATTATTCTTAATAAAAATAAACACTCAAAATATTAGCTAAATAAAATAAGGGGTTTGATTTTCTTATGTTGCATGAGAATTGAATTCTCATGTTGTGACTCAACTAGTGGTGAGTCCCACATTCATTAAAATGAGAAAAAAAAGAAGAAAACTTTTGCACACAAATTAAAGGATTACAACATGAAAATTGAATTTTCATGCTGAAGAAAATATTTTTCAATAAAACAATTAGAATCAATGTAAAAGGTTTACTTTTGTACGGGTGTCAATTCTTCTAAGATTTGCGTACGCATAGTTTAATCCTAATCTTCAAAATGCAAAAGCAAAAGTTTACAAAATACAATTTTTTTTATAAAATGAGAAAAAAAAAATTTATAAAATATTTTCATAGAAAAGGTATGTCTTCATTAAGTAACTGATATTTCTAGCCTTTGGTATTCTAATTCGTAGACCATGTCTCTTATTTCATAAAAAATATTTATAACGTATTTTAGCCATAATTTTACATGTGTAAATTTTTTATGAATTTTTTTGATAATATACGTTATTAAAATTACATAAAGTTTCCTGTTTATAAAAAAATATCATTCTAAAATTAATTTAATTTTATAAAAATGTATACAATATTTTTATTGGGGAATTAAGTGTTATTTTATATATTTATAAAAGCATATGTTATTTTATATCGTTTAAACTTTCATGTGCAAGATGTATTTTTTTATAAGTTTTTTTTATATAAAATCCACTCTTTTTCTCATCTTATTTTTTACAAAAAACACTTGATTTTTTTTGCCTTCCCCCTCATTTTCTTAACTTTAATAAAGCATAGATGTAGATCTTCTTTTTCCATTAAATGAAGGGATAAACAAGTATTATAGTGTAAGAAGAATATGCAACGACTATCTAGAAGACCAAGTCATTGAATAAAGTGTCTTTTTCATTTTCTTTAATATTATTTAGGAAAAAGTTCATTAATGTCCATGTGATTTGCTTTAGAATCATCTATGTCTTTATAATTTTTTTTTTATCACATATGTCTCTGTGATTTGTAAAAAACAAAAAACTACAGGAGTATATCTGATAAAAAAAATCACTGAGACATACATAATTTTGAAATAAATGATAGAAACATTAGTGAACTTTTCTCTATTATTTAACTTGTGTGTTTAGCAGGACAAAAAATTCCTTCTTGTAACGAGGAAATCAAAGCTCATGAAGGAAACATTTGATTTAATTGTTGAATAAACGATTAATATGTCTCAAGTATTTTACCAAGGAAATATTTAAAAAAAAAAATTAAAAAATTGACAGTAGCAAAATGAGAACGCAATAAAAACTTATACCGCAGTTTATCAAAAAATAAAAATAAAAAACTTATACAGCAGTTTACCAAAAAAAAAAAAAAAAAAAACTTATACAGCCACATCTAAAGTTGTGCAGGACAAATATAACTCATCATTTATAGAGTTTGACAAGCGAAAAAAGAGAATGAAAACTAGAGAGTTATTCAAACACTAAGAGTTATATTTATAATTTTTGTTTACAAATTTTTATAAACTTAATTATGTATTCCAGAAAATGCATACTCGAGTATTGTATTTCACATGATACATAATTGAGTTTATAAGAATTTATAATTAAAAAATTTATAAATATAATTTTTCCAAAAAAATGCTGCAACAACCCACTAAAGTGAAAAACAAAACCTTGTAAACATTGATTCAACAACTCTTTTAAGATCCTATATGTGAGAAGCATACATCAAGTAACTTCTGTTCTTCCAATAACCCAAAATCATAGTCAGGACTTAAGAAACTATAATCATAACCCACTTCCAACTCTGCAGTTTGCATATTATTCAAATGTCCAGGAAGGTAACCACCCAGTTTCTGTAGCTGTTGAGAAATATCACAAAACTTCCTATTAGTATTGATGTTCAAAGCCTCAACTTGGGATATTCTTTCAATTTGTCCAACAGTGCCACCACCTAACACATGAATTCCTTGCATGGAATGATAGGAATCCTCTACTTTAGGTGTCTCGTTTTTGCAATCAATAGAATGGGCTCTCAGCTTGCAATCCAAACTCTTAAGCTCAGTTTTCATCTCATCAAACTGTTCATTTTTATATTGCTCATTTTGTGAATGAACATGGCTAATCGTAGAGCACTTCCTGCTACAAAGTTCCATGATTTCAGAAATTACTTCCTCCCTATGGCTTAACTCACATGATTTCAAAGTTTCCACTGATTCTCCTCTTGTTTCTTCACTCTTCACACGTTCAGTATTATCAGAAGAGCTACAATCAGCTTCTGTATTTCTTGCTATATCCATAGGCTCCTTAGAGTTTTTCAAAACCTTCTCTGATTCACTCTCTATTTCTTCACTGTCTCCATTTATTCCATTCTTGAAAGACCCTTGATGAATTATTGCCTTACATTTCTCATTTGTTTGACATTGGACAGTGCCAATTGCCAATTCCTTTGATTCTTCTATTGACACATCAGCCACCCAAGCTTCAGAATGAACCAGTTCCTCTTGTGATTCCTCAAAGACACCAACCTCAGAAAATTTGGCTTTGTCTTCATGAGACTGATGAAGATTCCCCTCAAACACATCATCTTTAGCAAGATCACCACCATTCAAAGTATCCACATAACCACCACTTGGTGATTTTTTATCATAAGCACTAGATGATGATCCATCATTAGATACTATTTCCTTCACTGTAGACTCAGGAAAGTTCAAATAGGCACAAGGGCCATACATAGCTCTAGCTGCTTCATCATAAGCAAGAGCAGCTTCAAGTGCAGTAGAGAAAGTACCAAGCCAAAGCCTATTTGGTTTCTTCTCACAAACATGCTTACATGAGATTGGTTCACGAATCTCAGCAACCCACTTACCCCAAATCCTCTGCCTCACACCTCTGAACTTGCAATCAGAATTCTGAGGCCCTCCTTTACCTCTCATGCACCCTTTTCTTGAACCCTTTGCAGGAACTTTGTGAATCACTTCCACACCATTTTCTCCACAACCAAGTTGTTGTTGCCTGTTATACTTCTTCCACTTCTCAAGTGTGTTTTCCACTGAATCACTTCCACCACTGCGTCTCTTGCGTGGTTTTCTAACCCTGCAGCCATTTCCAACCAACAAATAAACAAATTTTTTTGTCAACTTTTCATAAATTGTTAGCAAAGTCTTCAAAGTAAAGAAAATTATAACATAGAAACATAAAAGAAGCATAAAAAAAAGCTTATGCAGCAACCACAAATTTATCATAAAATAAAATAAAAAACAAGGTACAATTTGGATAAAATGAAATAGTAACAAGAACATAGAGCTATAGATAGGTTGAGATGAATTTAGAAGAAAGTAACTGACCTGGAAATGGTATCACCCTTCATGAGTTTTTTTATTTTTTTTTTGCTAGTGAAGAAGCATATAGTTTTGTTTTGAAGTTTGTGCTTGAAGGTTTTAGAGGGGTTTTGAAGTTTGTGTTTGTTTGAGATAAGTAAAGTAGATGTGATTACAAAATAAGGGTTTAAGAGAGGTATTGGAATTTGTGTTTGTTTGGTGTAAGTATTGAAGATGTCATTACGAACGTCATGCATGCTTGACTTGTAGAAAAAGAAAAAGAAAAAGAAGGTTTCAATTTTAATGTTCAAATAAGGAAATATGGGAAAAGGGTTCATTTGGATAGGCTTGATAACGTGGCTAATTTCAGAATCTGATGTGAAGGCTGATGAGCATCTGGGGTTGTGACACGTGGCAATAATTTGATTCATGGTGGCAACTGGCAAGAGCTTAAAATTATACGTGGTCAGGAAGTGATTTCTTCACCACGAAGGACTCACTTTTCTATTGGGCCTTCTTCTTCTTGTGACTACTTGCTTAGATTTCAACACTCTTATCTCTCTCTTCCTTGTTAAATATCATTTATCTCTTTTTGGTAAGTATTTAATTTTGTTCCATTTTAAGTATATTATCTTAGGGGATCTATTAATCTCACGTTGCATTATCTCATGCAACAGAGATAAAATTGTGAGGTCCATTACCTTTTCAAAAAAAGAAAAGAAAGAAAAAATAGTGAACCTCACTATTTTGTCTTTGTTGCATGGAAATAATTATCTCATGTCTTATCTTATAGTCATGTATTGAAATATTTATCAATTATGAGGTAATTACGTACGGCCGGTAAAACTTCCAACTTTGATCAAATTTGTAATAATTTCAATTATCATGTTAAAAGTGACCAGACAAGAGAAGTGTGATTTCCTTTTCCCTATTTCACAATATTTTACTGGAAAAAACAAAATCTATATCATGGGAGATGTACTTTCATGTCTTTTTAATTTTATTTTATTTTTAACTTTTTTGTTTTTCTCACTTCCTTTCGGCCTTTTGGGTATTCTATTCTTCATTTTAGTTTGAAACCATTGTCTTTGGGCTTACACTTTGAAAATCTAACAAGTCCATGACCATGGCCCACAAAAGTTGAAGCCTCTATGACCATAGCGACGTTGGTTAATATGGTGATTGGTGAACCTTGTTCTCCTACGGTTCCACACACTTCCCTACTCCTACTCCTTTTCCTTACCATTCAAACATAAAAATTAGTTGACTGGGTCTCCACGTGCACCATCTACCATCACCAAGTCTATGTCTTTGGAATTTTTGTCTGTCCTTTTTTCCATTCTCTCAACAATCTAGTTGCAAGTTTACCCTTAAGGTCAAGTTCCTGTCTTTGATGTTCTTGTAAGTTATAAACATCACATAAATGTTTTCTTCAACATGGTAGTATTGGTGTGATTGTGATACATTAGGTGTGATTGATTATATATGCATGAACCTTTTGGGTATGAAATTTATTGGTTATTTATAACCTCTGTTGTGACCTGACAATTTACTGCATACTCAAATTATGTTTAATTAACATGCAATGCTTTTTTATGGGTACTTTTGTTATTCAGATAAATTGCTTGAATCTAGTGATGTAAAACAGATGAGTTGTTTGTAATTTTTGTAATCATTCTCACTTTTTTTTTAATGTTGGGAAAAGTAAAGAAAATGATCTGAATATGAATTAACTAGAATTTTAAGTCAAAGGATAAATAAAATGATATCATTGCCTATGCTCTCCCTGATCATCATAATATAATTGTTTGTTTTCTGTTTGTATAAACATCATTTAAAGTTTTCTCAAATCAGAAGAAGAAAAAAGAAGAACAGGAAATTCTCTCCATATAATAAAAGTTACTGATTTATCTTATCATCTAACTTGTGTTTTATGTTGACAATCAGAGGTGCTCAAGCAACAGTATTAACACATGGCTTCTTCTTTCCGAGCATTTTTGAACAGTCCTGTTGGTCCAAAAACTTCACATTTTTGGGGACCTGTTGCCAATTGGGGGTTCGTGGCTGCCGTAGGTTACACTACTTTTTTTTATTCTTTATGCATTTTCATCTCACGACTCAAAATCAAAATCAAAATCAAAAGGGTCTCATCCTATTCAATGTGTTAATGATAAGATCATTAATATAACATCATCATTAATATAAAATTTACTTAAGTTTTTTTGATTGAATTCATGTTTTATATGATATCAGAACCTATGTGATCAAGTGGTCACGAGTTCAATTCTTTTCACCCCATTTTTTTAATAAAAGATAAACACAATAAGTTAAAATCATGACTAAATTTGTCAGGTGTTTGAATTTCAGGGGTTGGTGGACATGAATAAACCTCCAGAAATGATCTCTGGCAACTTGACAGGAGGTTGAAAATCTATGTTTTCTAGAGAACTTGGAATATTCTTAGCAATATGTAGCATACATATATATGGTATGTTGCTAATTAAATTTCGTGTCTTGGTTTTTCTTTGTGTTGGTGTGGTGCAGTGATGTGTGTCTATTCAGTATTGTTCATGAGATTTGCATGGATGGTACAACCACGAAACTATTTACTTCTTTCTTGCCATGCCTCCAATGAGGTTGTACAATTATGTCAACTCTCTCGTTGGGCAAAGGGGAATGGGTACGCTGCTCAGATTCTTATTCACTTAATTAGTTGCATGTTTCCTTGTGTATTACCTACACTAACAATTCTGCTTTTCATGTCTTAGCCTGAATTGATGGGTATTTTGCTCTGAATAGGTACCTCTCTGAGAAGAAGGATAAAGCTTCATCCAAGTAACTTGATGCTGAAGAGTCAAATGAGAATTCTGCATTTGATTATTAATATAGACGAATAATTTGATTCTAGGTTTTTATAACCAAAATTCATGGAATATTGTTCCATTTGTTCATTGCCTATTTTGTATTGATTATTCAAGTTTCTCGGTTATATTCTTTCCAATAATGTTGAATATTATAAAGAATTATTTCAATCCAAAAACTTAAATATATCATCCATCACATAATAGATCATTAAGCTTAAAAGGTGAACAATGCATAGATTTTTCTTCTCGTATTAAGAAATTTCATAATATTTGATAATTTATTAATAAAATAATATAGTGAGATCAAATTTGTGGGACTTGATCATAAAAGCTCTGATTCTATATAAAGAATGATTTCAATGACCCAAGAGGTTAAGCTATTAGATGAATACCATATTAATAATTTTATATCATAGGATAAGATCATATCCTAACAAGCATTATTCATAAGTTGTTTGAGCTTCTTTTTTCTTTTTTTTTTTATGTAAACAACCAATAAATAAAGAACTCTGTTCAACATAATATATTATATACATATTTCACTAGTTATTTGAGCTTTTTTTTTTTGGCAATTATAAATAGAAATAATCAGAATGAACAAAAAGTATTGGATTTATATGGTTAATTCTAATATAGTAATATTGACTCACTAGATAAGATGGTAATTTTGCATTGGAGCCCAATTTTGCATTATCAGTTCTGAAGTTATCTGCTGTATATTGATTTGAAGTTTAAACTGATCTACTATTATGTTAAACGTGTAGGGGCTTAACGAAATACATATATTAGGAGAGCCTAGTATCCTTTGTTCACTAGTTGCATGACTTTTTTTTCGCATAGAGAACCAAATATGTTATATCCTTCTATAAATTTAATGTGTCGTATAGAAACTTGCTTAATTATTTAAATTCCTTATGTGTTATATTGATCAAATACTGAGACTAAAAGAGAAAATACAATACAATTAGAATAATGAAAAACATATTTAGAAAATGTGATATACAAATAAGAGGACTCCAGAACTCAGAAACCTTTTGTGATTTCCACATACCTAAACTTTTTTTAAGGGATTGGATTAAGATTTTAAAATATTTTAACGAATCATTTTTTTAAAAAAATTAATTGGTATTCAATTAGAATTTGGGATAGGATATTATTACTATCAAATAATATTACTACCATATCTTAACTTTTCGTCAATCAACAGTTATTATTTTCTGCCAATCAACGGTTATTAATTATTTTCCGTCAATCAATGGTTATTATTTTCACAAATCAAGCTCATTAATTAATTATTAATTAGCAATAAATGATAATGATTGACGGAAATTAACAGAAATATTGACGGATAAGATATGATAATAATATTGATAATAACATTATTTGGTAATAACAATATCATATCCCTACTTACCAAAAAAACAATATCATATGCACCACTAGGGATAGCCTAGTGGTGTTGGGTGTGTTTAGGGTGTATTAGGTGTGCGGTTTGATTCCGTCCAAAAAAAAAAAAAAAAAAAAAAATATCATATCACTTGTCTCGAGTTTGAATTCGAATAAGCAATTGTTGTGTTAGAAATTAAGTAAGAGAGTTCGAATCCTGATATGCAACTGTGTTGAAAACTTATATTAGGGGGAGAGATTAACCGAATCCTATGGCCAAAAAGAAGAGGAAGTCAAGTCTCCCAATCATCTGTGACGATCTCATGATCGAGATTCTATCATGGCTTCCAGTGAAATCCCTTATGCGATTCAAGTGTGTGTCCAAGTCCTTCCATTCCTTGATCTCCAATTCAGATTTCGTGAAATATCACCTTCAAAGATCACCTAAAAACGTCAGCATGATGTCATGGTCATCAACAGTCACATCGAAGGGTGTGTTTCGCAAATCATACTCTATGGCTTTACTCGACAACAACACATCACCCATCATTGCTGAAGATCAATACCACAGGATCGAATTAAAGCGACAAGAAAGGTTTCTTCTTTCCTGCAATGGTTTGATCTGTTTTGTTTGTGAAGATCACATACGTTATTGGGTTTGTTTATGGAACCCTGCTACAGGGTTAACATCACAAGAGTGGCCATGTCTTCAACATTATTATGTAAATAGTGTGCTTGGTTTTGGATACGATGTTTCATCCGACACTTACAAGGTTGTAGCATTTTTTCATAATTCAACTAAAACACATGTGAAGGTTTGCGGCCTAGGTGACAATTGTTGGAGAAGCATTGAAAGTTTCCCTGCTCTTCCCAATTTGAGAGAGGGTGGAGTTTATTTGAGCAGCACTCTTAATTGGTTAGGAGATCCCAATTTCGGTTTCTTTTTGAATATTAATCAGATAGTGATTGTTTCACTTGATCTTGGGAAGGAGACATTTAGACAATTTATTGCTGCCTCGTAGTACTCTTGTTGGAGTCTCGAGTCTTTGGCAAAGGCTTGCGGTTTTGAATGACTGTTTGTGTTTTGTTCATGATCGCAACGAAACTCATTTGGTTGTTTGGCAAATGAAAAAGTATGGGGATGAAAATTCTTGGATTCAATTATTCAACCTCAGTTATCAGCATCTTCAGATTGATCTTCCGGGTGCGGTATCATTGTTCATGTTTGAGGATGATGTTGTCTTGATTATGGCACAGAGGCTGAAAGGGCAAGCAGTTTTTCACAACAGGAGAGATAATAGTGTGCAACATATTAAAATTTCCAACGACGTACATTGCATCTATCCTCAGGATTACCTTCAAAGTTTGGTCTCGCCTTATTGAAAAGAGGTGTTCTTCTGCAACAGTTTGTTGTTTTTTACATTTAGCGTCTTGCTTTTACTTTGTTGTTGGATTTTGATCTAATGGTTTGATTGACATCTATGATTGGGATGATGTTATTTTGATTTCATGCAGATCACTTTTGTTGATATTATTGTTAGGAAGGATCATGAATTTCCTTTAATCTTTCCCATGTGGAATGTTTAATGTCAGTTTTTCCATACTAATATAGCGTTAGGTTAGACTTTGATATAAATAAACATACTAATGTAAAATATTTTGAGTCTAGTCTGGTCTGTTTGTATAAGCTAAATCATAGGCCTAGTTTGACATATATTTAAAAATCAAAGGTCTGGTTCAAAAAATAAAAAATAAAAAATAATGTTATTTTATAAATTAAAATTATTTAAATATTTATTTTAATTAAAATAAATAATACAAGATAGGCCGATCTATAACCTTGTATGTCAGACCTAATCTGCGCAGCTCCAGTCAGAGTTTTAGCCAATATCTATAAAATAATGGGCTCATCAATCCCTCTAATGTACATATCATTGTCAAACGTGTTTACATGGACCTCAGGATCCTAGCTTGCATCATATTTCGGCAAATATGCCGAATCAAACTCATCTGGAACGGAGCATTAAGAATTTCACCGGTGAAGGGACTATTATTGTTTGTTCCTTACTATATTTCCTCCTGTATGCGCCAGCTTCAACACAACCTTGAATATGATCCCGGTTATATTGAAACTGGATATGCTGGTTGTGATGCATATCACCCCAGTTGTTCTCCACACTCCTTCCTGATCCAGCATTCAGGGTAGAAATTATCATATTCACATTGTGATAAATATTTAAAAATCAAATGTATGGTTCAAAAATTAGAAAATAAATAAATAATATAATATTATTTTATAAATTAAAATTATTTAAATATATTTTTTATTTAATTTTAATTAAAATAAATAACACGATATATGCTGGTCTATGGCCTTTTTTCCGGATGAACTTTCTTAAGGCTTGAGTCTATTCTATTTTATTATATACATTCACTAATAAATTATTTTTAATTTTAATTTTTTTTTACTGGTTCATTAATTTTTCAACTTAATTTGATTGAGTATAGTCAAATTTATACTGAATGATTCTTTCAAGATTATTTTCTCAATTTTCAAAAATCGAATTCAAAACTTCACTTAAGGAAAACAAGCTCAACTTATATTAATTTACAATAACAATAAATGTAGAGAGTTGCAATCATATAAATAGTTTGACATGTGAAGTGGGATCAACGATCAAAATCAAGAGTGTAACCAGAGTTTTAAAACTCCGCTCCACCCCGGGGTCAACCCGGCAAAGTCATTGACCCCCTCTCTCGAGGGTTAGGGTCAGCAGTTAGACCCTGTATGCACGTTGACCTCTCTGAACCCCAAAACCCCTAGTTGAACCTACGACTCTTGGGGTAGAAAGGGTCACTGCATTTAAAAAAAAAAATACACGAAAAGTCATCGTTTTGTGTGTAAAAATAAATAAATAAAAACTCGTTGCTGCCTAGATCTAAAATTAGATATGAAATCTAAATCGTCCTTCTTCTTCTCTTTTGATCTTCTCTCCCAGACCCAGAACCAGTCTCTCCGATGTGGTGATCTCCTCTGCCATGGTGGTGTTTCCTCTTATCCTCTTCGGTCTTCTCTCTCCCTTTCTTCCGCCTTGCTAGTTCTTATCTCCCCACTGTTGATTGATCGTGCTGCTGCCTCTTCTCTGGCGTTCTCTCTTGGGTAAGGGATCTCCTTTCACATGTTGTTGTAGTTTCGCGAGAAGGATAAGGAGAACCTGAGTTTTGATAATATAACTTTTCATTGACTCTATTGGAATATGTGTTTTATCCTTTGATAATTTGATTAGCTTGTGTAATATTGACTTGTGGATGTAATTGGTTAAATTATGTTAAGTATGTAGTATTTTTAGAGATATTCCAATAGGTTCATCACTTCGCGACTAGTCCGATTCAAGGCGGGTCCCAGATTTAGGCTTTAAATCCTTCCCAAAAACAGTACTGGGAAGAATCGAACACATGCTTTCACCCTCACCTGCTTAGTTCCTTGACGCCAACTGAGCTACCATCATTTGGTATGTTAAATATATTTTGGATCTTTGATGATTGGTGCTTTAATTTTTTTGAATTTTTCATATAAGATATATATTTGTATTTTTTCAATGTATAAAAGAGTCAGCAAAGTGACCCCATAATCTCTCAGTTGAACACGTGACCCCAGACCTCCGCCAGGCCGATGATCAGGCCTAATTTTTAAACACTAAATATAACTTAAACTGATATCAAATAATCCTGACTCATATATATATATATATATATATATATATATATATATATATATATATATAGTGTGAGCACACGTGTGGCGCACACACGCTTTTTCATAAATTGAGATGTCTTGATCCAACTTCAACGTGTTTTTTTTTTTTTTTTTTTTTTTTCAGTTTCCTTTAACTCCCACCATCCAATTAAGTCCAATAGTTATTAGTAATATATGTTGACGTCGCAAAGTGTCATTTTAACATTCTTAAAATTAGCAGCCAACGGAAGAGAGGTATGTTTGCACATTAGTTGAAGATTATTTGAAATAATTTCTCAGCTCAAGATCCGTATAATGATTGCACAAATATTCGACGAATTCTGGTAAGATATCAAAATATAACAACTAGCAAGCACCATATTTGTTAATTTATTTAAGGGGTTTAAACGATAGTTATTAAAACTGGACCGACTCGGCCGGTCGATCCGAGAACTGGTAAATCGGTCATATAACGTAGGAGTATTCGCGGTCTGGATTGGATCGGTTTTAGAAGCAAAAATCATCCGATCCAATTCTTTCGGTTTGATCATATAATCATCCAGGTTTTTATTTTTTTTCAAATCCGATCCGATCCACTTCAATTTTTTTCGGTTTGGATTAGATCGGTTTTCTGTTTTTTGAAAATCCTAAAATTTATTTCACGATTGTTGTGCAAATAACATCTTTTATATATATTGGCTTTGTAAAAAAAAAAATTGAAATACAAAAGCATTAGTAAACTATAATATCGTTTTTTTTTATTTTTGGCAATGAAATATGAAGCTCTACAAAGATAAAATTTTGTTGATGAGATGTGACTAGATTTTTTCTTGGGTTTAGTTGATGGGTTAATGGGTCTTAGGTTTAGAAATTTTTAGACTATGATTATGGAAAGAACCAAGTAAGTAGAGGAAAATTAATATATTGGATTAGTTTGGATTGGATCGGTTTTCATCAACCTATCCAAAAATCGATCCAATCCAATTAAAATTTGCGGTTTCTAATCGGTTTTTGACCCGAATATATTTGACTGTTATTCGTGTCGTGTCAACCCTCAAAAAATTCGTGTCGTATCAGTGTTGAAGATTTTGACACGAATAAAAATTCGTGTCGTGTTAGTGTTGATCTATTCGTGTCGTGTCGAATTAGTGTCGTGTCAACCTATTTTGACACCCCTACTTTAAGTTATTGAGATAAAGCACTTAACAAATGAAATAAAAAATATTTTGCTTTCAATGGTAAATATATATAGTATACCTTATTTGTAAGAGTAAAATAAATACGCGTATTATATCTTCTAGATAATTTTTTCCAAGTTGAATCTTTTACAACCTTATGTTAAAAAGATAACTTTATTTTGTAAAGAATAATTTATTTACATATCTTTGAAATATTTTTATCAGAACATATTTAAAAGTATTTAACGATTTATTATAGGTGATCATTTTTGTGTTTTGAAAATATTTAACGATATTAACTCAGTAGTTTGCTATTATTTTAACAAACCCCAAGGCAGTGGGGTGTAATTTGCTCGTGAAATAAACTAGTCTTTGTTTGATTTTTCAATAGAGTAGAATTCAGCATGTGCAATATAAAAGAATTGCAGGAACCTAAAACTTTGCATAAAATACCAAATCAAGAAGCTAGAACTTTTATTTTTACGGTGCAATAATCAAGTAGAAATGTAACATATATATGAGAATATTAATAGCAATACACACGTTAAAAATCCAAATAGATTATTCAAGCAAAATCTTGTGGCTTATGAGAATCTGAACTGAAAGCATTACAATTTGGAGTTGGTAGGAAATGCTGTTACATCAAAGACTTTGAGAAAAAATCGTGTTCTTGGGATAGACAGGTTGGACTGCAATATGGTACCAATAGTAGCAATTAGCTTCCTCTTCACTTCTTTATTTATGCCACCCATTGAAACTATCTCTGCATATGCAGCTGGTTCTTTGTTACCCTCAAATGATATTGGCACTGGAGACTTCAATATGACCATCACAAACTGCACAATTATATTCACAATATGAATGAAAATGTCACAACATAAAGACCACGGAATTGAAGAAAGACATATTTGATATGGGTGTCATATATACTAAATGTTTTTTTTTTTTTATTAAGATGTATATTTTGCTTCCGTAATTTTGAGTGTAGTAAAAGTCAAAGGTTTCCATCTTGGGACTCAAACCGTTACTTTTAACCACTACCACCAACACCTATATGTTTCTAAATGATATTTACATATTAAAAATTTATATCATTCTTTCAAATTTTGAAATAATAAAAATAAATGTTATGGACCTGATATAAATGCCCATATTCTAGAAGGTTCAATAAAGGTAAAACATCTAAGGGGGCGTTTGGTTGAGGAGAAATTGTGTGAATACTGAGGAAATGTAATTGATAGGAAAATGGTTGGAAAGTGAGTTAGGTAGGAAAATGTAAAAAAAGTTGTTTGGTTGGGAAAAATTTTACCGGGAAAATTAAGTGAATTTATAATGTCTATGTTTGGATGTAAGTAAAATATAGATGAGAAAGAAGGTTGGAAGTTACGAAAATAACCCTGTCTTGAAATAATTTTGAATCAGAATGAACTACCCTTTATTTGTAAACAGGGTTCCATTTGTTAAAAAAGTGTAAGTTGCCAACGAGCATTTGTGCAAAAAACGAAAAATATTGGTTAACGATGGAGCCAAGCAAAATGAAAAATCTTTCTAAAAGTTCTCATAAGAGAACTCATCATCATGAAACAAAACCAACAGTCCTCATCATTCACAGAATCAGATTCGTTAAAAAAAGAAAAGAAAAGAGAGGATATATTTAACCGGAACTTTCCAACGAAGGCTTTGCTCCCATAGTTCAAACAAGTATCACTCAATAGGGAAAAAAAAGAAAAAAAGAAAGAAAAGGAAGATGCTTTACCCATCTTTTGAAAAAGAAAAGGAAGATCCTTAGAAAAAAAGCTCACAAAATGTGTGCGTTGAGAAGAGAAGCAAAAAGAGGGGAAGCATTCTCAGAGAGTATAATGGGTGTTCTGCAGTTTGAGTAAACAGTGGTTTACCCATCTTTTAACAAAAAACCACCGATGAAAAAACTTTCTGAACAGTGCCGAAAGATGGGTATCCATGAGAAAATTGAAAAGCTATGCAAATTGGATAGATGGCCTTTTTGACTGAATCTATTTGACCAAACATTGGTTTTCTGAAATCCTTGTTTCATTTGCATAAGAAACTTGTGAATGACCGTGAACCGAACGACACCTAAGAGTGAAATAAAGGAAAAATTCCTAATCCTAATGCGATAACAGCGGATCAAGTTACTTTCTATCAAAGGTCCAAAGCCTTTGAACTGTCATTAGCTGTCATCAGTTACTCTCTGTCTCTCATTAGTTATCACTGTGCACACACTCCATAATTTTGGCTACGCTGCTGTGTTATTGTGCATAGTGATTTGTTGGTCTCTAAGGTATGTTCTCCATAAATACTTGAGAGATGACATACAGATCCTATAGAAATCACCCAATCCTCATATTGAACATCTCGATCCACGTAAGATTGAACAATAAAAAAAATAAGTATTTTAATATATTTTTATTTTCCTAAACAAATGAAGTGTGAAAACTATGTAAAGATTTTGATGTTCAAATGTTAGTTTTGGGAGAAGAAAAAAAATACTAGTGGTGTTGGTGTAGGGGTCCAACACAAAGGGTGGTGGGTATTCAGGATAAAGATGGGGGCCCTGCCTGCTTGTGGAAACGCAGTTTGTAGAAGCATTCACTTTTTCCACTATCCAAACCCCTTTTCACACGTGATAGGGATCACAGGAAAGAGAAAGATCCTTGATTCCATGGTATCCTATCAGTTACTATCGAAGTATTACTTAAGAAGAATCCATAGAACTTCATGATTTTCATTGTCCCATTAATTTCACGGAAAACTAATAACTCAATTGTCCTTCACATTATTTTATTATTGGGATCTGATCCTAGATTTAGATGCCTTTTGGCAATCTCAAAGCACAGTAAAATATCGCATTCTTCCCCATACCAAAGCTTCTATAACTTACCACTTTTGGTGCCAAATTGCATGAGAACAACTAGACCAATGATGAAACTAAACCCGTTTTGGAAAAAAATTCTTGGTACCATGATGATACAACAACGTAAGAGAAAGCGTCAATTGCTTACCTACAGAGAAATGAAAAGCTTGTACTTCTGAACCCTGAACATCATAGCATGAAATTCTTTCGAATTTAAAGGTGGCTTCAAACTTCCAATTGTATATTTAATTCAGATCGCTTAGCTTAGCTATAAATGGACTTGTATAGTACAATCTAGCTGGAAAAATCTATACAATTGACTTACCAGAAGATAATAAACAAATAACATGAATCATTTCTATTGACAAGGTACCGTGCAATAAAGGATAAATCCCACTACACAAAGCTTTCCGACTTGCAAAAGTAGGATTGAGATTCATTGTATACTACCTTATCTTTGATTTTTTCGTAAAGAAGTTATTTAATTTTCAGATTCAAACCCGTGATCTTCCGATCACAAAGCAACCTTATAAATGTTCCAAGACTGGCACTTCTGATAAGTACCATGCAATCAATCAGGAACAAAAATAAAATAAAAAATGAACCCCATGTTTGTGTCAATCACAAGAAGGATTCTTACACAGCTAGGATCTCATACATAACCATAAGCTTTGCTTGAAGAAGACTGAGAAAGAAAGAAAGAGTGAGAAAGGTCTACCTTTTCAGGTTTGCCGATTATTGTGGAGACAGCAGTAGTGGCTTCAGAAAAGAGGGGATCAGTGTTAACTCCATCTAAGTTAATGTTGGTGGTGATGTAAAGGCAAGGCATCTTCTTCCTCGTTTTATGTGCTTATGTGATACTTTGTTCAAAATTTGGAACTCAAGTTGGTTCGGTTGAGCCTATCTTGCAAGTTCAACTTCATTGCAATATATATATTTATGAAGGACAGCAGAAAGGTATAGCTTTTACTTTACTTTCATTTTCATTTCCATAATTGTTTATTAGAGAGATATAAAATCATTAATGTAGTCTCACTCAAGTCTTAAGGTTTCGGGTTAAAGCTGCAGTGACGAAATGGTCACGAGTTCAATCCCCACTGCCCTTCACTTTGTGTTGAAATTAAGTAAGCACAAGGTAAATCAGAAAAATGAACTTGCATAGCACAAGATAGACCAAAAATAGGCACCTACAATATCCACACTTCAAGTCTAAACGACTATTGCATTGAGAGATGTATTAAAGAAATATAAAATCTTTAATATAATAATTTCCGAAAAAAAAAAATCTTTAATATAACCTTACCCAACACTTTAAGATTTTGAGTCGTTGTCTACGTTGTTTTAATTTCTTTCTCCACCGCAACTTTACACAACTGACAAAGTGGGTCAATCTTTTCCGAATCTACTTGAACTACTTTTAACTGGATAAAAACAAAGGTGTTGTCAAATTGATATGAATTTGCCAATAGGTTAAAAATACCAACACATATGTCGAAAGTTTATATTTTCGCTCTGTTTACTTTCTCATATGTAGTTTGTAGCTTTTGACAGAATAAAGACAACTAAGCATTTTTTTAGTAAATAATTGTACAGATTATACTTCTATATTTTTTGGTGTGTTTATTTTTCTTTAAAATGAAAGTACAATGAGCATTGTTGAGACTTGAGAGAAACAATGGACAATTGTCCATTAAGGCCACTGTCTAGTGTCTTTGTACGTGGGGATGCTGTACCTATTCCCCGAGCAACCATTTCCAAACATCTCATGATGAATATTTGAAAATGGGGTTTAGAAGGCTAAGAAGGGCACTAATTTATTTTCTCATATTGCAGTTTGCACCAATTGTTATAAGGATATCAACCACATGGAAAATGCACTTAACATGTGTATGCACAATTTGTATTGTGCAGTTAGTTATGTTTCCTTCTTCAATATTTGGTGTCTCTCTTTCCCTTATAATGGGATGTAGGCCATAGAAAGCAGCCTCTTGGTGCTTCTGTGCTTACCCATTCCCAATGGATCCCATCATTTGAATTTTGAAGTGTCAGTGTCGTATAGCCACTAAAGTCCTGTTTGAGGAATATGTGTAAATAACTAAAATGGACTTTTGTATTCATATAAGATATGGAGAAATTAAGAAACACGATATTGCTTTAAGTATGTAATCCACATCAATTAAAAAAACAAAATCTTTTTATTGTATTAAAAAAAAAAAAAATCTTTCATATCATTTCTTTCTTTCTTTTCTGACCTATTTTTGGTAGAAATGTAAACACCTTTCTATTTATTGAAAATTACCATTAACTGAAGATGCACTAATTAAGATTGACAATTATCAGTTTCTTAACATTTTTATTAACATTCATTTTGTTTATTTAACTCTCTGCTGTGTAGTGGCGGAGCCAGACCAAAAGTTTAGGTGGTACCAAAAAATTTTAACATATTAAATTATCAAGATATTTATCGTAATTATATAAATTAATCAAAAAAAAATTATTATGAATTCTAGCATAGTTATTTAAATTATGTATTAAATAATATCAGATAACATTAAAAATTCAAATGAACAATCGTTAATGATTATGGGTTCGCCTTTTCTGCAGTCATTGTAGATAAGTTATCTGCAGTAAACCCAATACGACGTCGTTTTGGGACGGAAATCATGGTATTTTTGTAATTTTAATTTATTCTAGGATTATTATAGTCTTTATAATTATAATTTTTTAATTTTTCAATCCCAAAACGACGTTATTTTGAGAGTAAATGCAGATAACTTATATGCATTAAGTGCAGAAATATTTTTCTAAATGATTATATATCAAAGCAAACATATAAAAAGACACTAACCTTTTGGGTAAGCATTTCAAACATAAGAATTTCACTTTCCACCCATAGCATGATAAGTAATGAACCAAGCATTGTCATAAGGATATGAAAACACACAAATATAATACTTTTCTATAAATTTCACTTTATAATTGAGATATTAACTATAAATTAAAGCATACAGACAACATTTAGAGTCAAAGGGATTCTCCTTCATTATACTTTTCTATTTACAAAATATATTTTTGTTTGATTCTTCCATCTTTTCATTTCTTAAGCCATTGCTATTTCAATCGATGTCTCGCAGAGCTAGCAAGTTGTGCAACAAGTCAGATGAAAAAAAGAGCAAGAGAGAGAAATCTGATTGCAATTGGAAGTCACAAATTAGGACTTTGAAAGTGATTTTAATTTATGGGTCAGGTAAAAGGATTTGGATATTGGGTTTTATTTTTCTGATTGAAAAACATAAATATAATTATATTTATTTAGGTGGTGCCAAATTATAAATTTAATCTTTGTTAATTATAATTAAATATATATTTACATATAATAAATAAATTTTTTTAAAACCAAGCAGGTGCCAAGGCACCTGCTGGCATAGGAGTGGCTCCGCCACTGCTGCTGTGATCACGGCAAATATATGGATCGTACAAGTAATAAAGTAATCATAAGCAGTGGCGGAGTCAGGTATATCTTGGGTGTGGCATCGGTCCGAGCTAAATTTTAACAAATTATATTTATTATATGTAATTATATAATTAATTATAATTTGGCCCGGATTAAAATCATAATTGGCCCGGACTACAATTTGTATTTTGGTCCTATCTCAAACTTAAAATATTTTTGGTAAGAGATTTGGGTAAGTTGTATTAGGTTATGTGTTCAATTTTCACTTGTATGAAAAAAAATATTTAATAAAATTATAATTCTTCTTGGTACTGCCTACTCAGGTGCTCTATATTTAATATAATTTTAATAGGGAGGGTTAAGTTTACAAATTTTTTGTTTATAAACACTTATAAATTACACTATGTACTCCCAGAAGTACACTAGGTAACACTATGTACTTCCGGGAGTATATAGTGTAATTTGCAAAAAAAAATTATAAAAGGATTTTTCCCCAATTTAAATATGGGAGTTATTAATCTTATGTCACGTGAGATAGTTATATGACGTGGGTGAAATAAAGTTGTGGGTCCCATAATTAAAAAAAAAAATGGACACAAGATTTCATAAGTGTGCAACATAAGATAGTTGTCTTATATGACATAAGACAACTATTTTCCTTTAAATATATTATCATATGAACTAACTAAAGTTAAGAAAAATAAATACACGTAAATTTTTTTGACCCGGGCTCAAATTTGAGCCCTGCTCCGCCACTGATCATAAGTAGAGTATTGTTCTTATGAGTATTGATCTATCAAGCATTAAGTTCACTACACGACCAAAATCGGATCGACCGTTAAAGTTGCTGGGAATATGGTTTAAATATAAAATCTGAACCTAGAGCTAACAAACTAAATATCAAGAACGGAATCAAGAACGCAAAACATAAAATCGAAACAAACACTAATAACTCAAAACGTAGCTAGGGTATCAATTTTCCCAATTTCATCCTAATGAATCTAATCTTTCCCGCAATTGACATTCAATCTCATGTTATTGACAATTCTTCAAGACTACTAAAACTCAATCCCTTGGTGTTTCAATTCTTTACCTAATTAAGAATCATAATCCCTTGGTGATCCTGCATTAAGAACGAAGAATCAAAAGAGTCATAGATTCCACAAGTCAATACCTAAATCAAGCAAAATCTAGCAATTAATCAAGTCAGAATCCTACACCAACATCCCCATTGTCGTGCAAGATGTATTCATCTATGAGTGATCAGTTCCTAAATAAAACTAGGAATGAAAATCAGATTAATCGCATAACATAAAGATTGAATATCAAATTACAAGGAAAGAGTAAATAACATTAATAATCAAAAGGTTCCATCTAACCCTAACTACAAGAAAAACCTAGCCTTACGTAGTTAGGAAAACTAAGACAAAAGATGAAAAAGATAATGAAAAACAACAAAGAACGTGATAATCGGTTTCCACGATGAAATTTTGACCGTTCCTTTAACTTTATCGCTTTAAACCAGAACTTTCTCCTCTTCGATCTGCTCATTATTCAGCGAGCTGCAGTACAAAACAACTTTGACAACAAAAATATGGTTTCATTTTTTTGGGCATAACTTGAGCTGTATTGGTCCAATTGATATGATCTTGGTCTCGTTGAAAAGATAAAAGGGAGATCTACATCTTTTATTAAGAACACAATATCCAAATACATCATATTTGATACGAAAATTGGCCGAAAGACAGCTTCAAGAAGATTTTCTCTAAATGGTTGCTCCTCATTTATCGCTTTAAGTCCTTCTAGCTTAACCATTGTTCGAATGCTTCAATTAACTCAATTATCCTATAAAACAAGCAAAATTCATTCACATAAATCAATAAGTTAAACTCCATGTTTTTTAGCCAAATAACTCTAATTTTTTAATTCTTTTGACTATGTATAAAAATGATTATAGTCCTTAAAAACATGATAAACTATGAGTTTATCACACTATCCAAGTATATCTTGCACTTTAATGAATCCAATTCTAGAGACAAGAGTTACAAAATAATCAAGGCAGAAAAACACTAGCTTTATTAGCAATATATAAAGGGAAGGGTTATACTTACCACCAGGTAAGTTTACCACCTTTACAACCAATCTTCTAACCGTTAGATTAGAATTAAATCTAACGGTCCATAATTATCTCTTACAATCCTAATTTTTTCCTCTTTCATCTTCACCTTCTCTCTAGGTCTAACAACCCTCTCTCTTTCGCTCTCAAAGTTCATTTGAGTGGTTACTGATGATTTCGCCGATCTCCATCATCTCATCTTATTCACAAGATTGTGGTTATCATTCCATGATGTTTTCTTATAGTTTTCAATCTGAATATCATGTTTCTCACACTTGCTGCTCGCTTTCTCTTCTCACCATCAAATCGCAAAAAC